CTGTACCATGTACCCAACAAACAAGGGTACTGCAGATCTGTACCATGTACCCAACAAACAAGGGTACTGTGGATCTGTACCATGTACCCAACAAACAAGGGTACTGCAGATCTGTACCATGTACCCAACAAACAAGGGTACTGCAGATCTGTACCATGTACCCAACAAACAAGGGTACTGTGGATCTGTACCATGTACCCAACAAACAAGGGTACTGCAGATCTGTACCATGTACCCAACAAACAAGGGTGCTGCGGATCTGTACCATGTACCCAACAAACAAGGGTACTGCAGATCTGTACCATGTACCCAACAAACAAGGGTACTGTGGATCTGTACCATGTACCCAACAAACAAGGGTACTGCAGATCTGTACCATGTACCCAACAAACAAGGGTACTGCAGATCTGTACCATGTACCCAACAAACAAGGGTACTGCAGATCTGTACCATGTACCCAACAAACAAGGGTGCTGCAGATCTGTACCATGTACCCAACAAACAAGGGTACTGCAGATCTGTACCATGTACCCAACAAACAAGGGTACTGCAGATCTGTACCATGTACCCAACAAACAAGGGTGCTGCGGTTCTGTACCATGTACCCAACAAACAAGGGTACTGCAGATCTGTACCATGTACCCAACAAACAAGGGTACTGCAGATCTGTACCATGTACCCAACAAACAAGGGTACTGCAGATCTGTACCATGTACCCAACAAACAAGGGTGCTGCGGTTCTGTACCATGAAGCCAGGAATCCCCACAAACCCCATGTAGATCCAGCTTACAATTGGTCTTCACTCTTCAGCAACAGTTGCTTGACATAAAAGGCAATTAACAGCGTCAGGCGTTCAGGCTCACTGACTGATGTCATCATATTTATCCTAATGTGTAGATCGATGCTCATGTTGTCAATCACTGGATTGTCCGGTCGAGACTCGATTATTTACAGGCCGCCATCCTATAGCTGGCATATTGCTGAGTGCAGCTTTAAATGTTAAACAACAAACAAAACAAACAAACAAAACAATCTCCACAGGGGTTAATGGAAGCGAGATTGTGGATAAATGCTGTCATCAGAAATAGTTCCACAATATAACATAGGCATTATCAGTAATAATTGAAAACATATAATCCAATAATTTTCACCAACAGTTTTCAACTTTCTAGCTACAACTAGTCATTCTTCCCTCATACTTTACCTAGTCTTCTTCAAACAGTATTTTATATCATGTATATACTGGCATCCGGCTTTGGGTTACAAACAAGTTTCTAAATTGGTGTGGCCTTTTCTGTTTTTGTAGATTTCACACGACAGGTGTAAGTCAACACCAGGACATGGAGACGGACAATCCCAATGGTCAAGGAGGCGGCTGTTTTACGGTCTTAAAGTTCAGAAGGGTGAGGACCTTTCTGGGCAAACAAGTGTGGACAATTGATCCCCACAAAACTGAGGGTTTTGTCATATTTGTCTATACTAAGTGTATTATCGTTGTGAGAAGAAGCTGCAAATTGGCTCAATGATTGTGAATGTTCTCAAGGCCTGAGTGTGGACTGCTCTTTACTTTGAAACAATTAGAACTGAAACGTTTGCTTGGCAGATAGATGGAAGTGATGGTGATATGAAATATGAAAGAAGAAAACCCCAACTTTCATGGGTCTAGCAAGACCTGCTCAGAGGTCAATATGAAACATATAACCTCCAATTTACAGGGGTTTACCTACGCCTGCTCATAGGCTGATATATTGTAAGATAAAACCTCTAACTTACAGGGGTTTACCTAGATCTGCTCATAGGCCAATATATAAGATATAACCTCCAACTTACAGGGGTTTACATAGACCTGCTCATAGGCCGATAGATAAGATATAACCTTCAATTTACAGGGGTTTACCTAGACCTGCTCATAAGCAGATATATAAGATATATCCTCTAACTTACAGGGGTTTACCTATGCCTGCTCATAGGCTGATATATAAGATATAACCTCTAACTTACAGGGGTTTACCTAGACCTGCTCATAGGCCAGTATATAAGATATAACCTCCAACTTACAGGGGTTTACATAGACCTGCTCATAGGCCAATATATAAGATATAACCTTCAACTTAAAGGGATTTACCTAGGCCTGCTCACAGACCGATATATAAGATATATCCTCTAACTTACAGGGGTTTACCTAGACCTGCTCATAGGCTGATATATAAGATACAACCTCTAACTTAAAGGGGTTTACCTAGACCTGCTCATAGGCCGATATATAAGATATATCCTCCAACTTACAGGGGTTAACCTAGTGACACTGAACCAAAACCTGATTGTTTCAATGGATTTACACAATACTTTAAAAAAAAAAAAATCACTAAGTGTGAAAGTCTCCAGCTGAGCACTCGACTGATTAGGGTTGACTTGCTTTATGAGTGGTACTCTGGAAGTAAACCCTCAATTAATGTTAACATAAGAAAAATAGAAACGGGAAAAATATAAAATATTCAGAAATTCCTAAATAGCAAAGGGCATCAGTTCAAGGCAGGACTGATATGTGTAAAGGTTCATCAAGAAATAATGGATGGCCTTTGAGTTATGCTCCAGAGACCAACTCTACCCTCATTTGAACCAAATTGACATGGAAATGACAAGGTTTATGAGTATACTTCTGAACAACAGATGGACGGACAGACCCCACTCCAACATGTCCAATATCCAACCCCAATTGATGGCAGGGATAAAAAAAAATGCAGGTCCTAAAATGATACAAAGCAACAATGTTCCACTCTGCTCTCTGCTGAGTTCTGGTGATGTCAAGTCTAGTCATCCTAGTCTGTCTTACAGACCCTGATACAAATATATATCAAATACAGCCCATGCAAGTCTATAATGTTTGGCAAGTCTAGATTACTGCAGTATCAGGAAGAGAGTCACTGGGCTCCTTTTTATTATATTTTTATTAAGATAACTGAACAACTGTTTTTTTTATGTACGATATGTTCATTTCAGAGACTAGATTTTAGTCTTTAGTCATCCTTACTGTGTGGTCTTCAGCAGTGTATTGGAGCACGTCCAGTAGTGTACTCATCTCCATTATGGCTAATATCACACAATAATGCTTGACATCTATTGACTCATAAGACCACTGGCTCATATTCAGTGAAAATGTACAATGACCACAAATGTTAGGCTGAATGGAGTTATTTCCCTTTTCCAAAATAACGATTTTTCTACCCTTCACTGGATTCAATGAAAATGAAACTGGGAACAGACAGAGAGAAGTTGGCTTCTTTCAAGAAATGGTGAGGTGAGGTGAGGTGAGGTGAGGTGAGGTGAGGTGAGGTGAGTGCCTGCTTGTACTAGTCAGGACTAATGCCGATTTTATAGTGCTAGCCATCTGAGATACCATGCCGCAGTTTAACATGGATATCCCACTCAGTATGTACAGACTCTGAGCCCAACAGTCCTTGTTTTATCTTCTTAATGATGTGTGCCAGGCAGGTAACAACAAGTACAGTGAGTGAGTGAGTGAGTGAGTGAGTGAGTGAGTGAGTGAGTGAGTGAGTGAGTGAGTGAGTGAGTGAGTGAGTGAGTGAGTGAGTGAGTGAGTGAGTGAGTGTGAGTGAGTCCCCTTAACATGCTTAACCAAAAAGTTAACATAAAAAGATTAAAGATGGGTTTGTGTGACAGGTCAGTGAAAGGAAGCCATTTAGGAAATGAACATACATGTTTTCAATATTCCTGTAGATTTAACCGCATTAAATTGAAATTGGAACTAAACTCTGAGTGAAGGGGCATTGGTGGACTCAAAGTATTTTAGTGGGTTGTCAATTTGAATTGAGGAAATACTAATTAAATACTCTTTTACCTAAGTATGGCGCTCAATATGCTCAAACATTGATGTTCTTACATAAGAATACTTTACTCACCTATAGGACAGATATTGAATGTATACAGTACCTATACTTTATAACAGCAATCACATAGATGGAATATTGCTGACAACAACAACAACAACAAAACAAACAAACAAACAAAGATCTTCAAAAGCCAAGTGGACACACCTTCAGATAAGGAAAACAAGCCCTAAAGTTGAGTTGTACACTGAATGTCACTACCATGAGGTTACCATGGTTACAGCAATCATTAGACCCGTGAAGTTCCGGGGTAGAATAGGTCTTCAGCAACCCACGCTTGCTGTAAAAGGCGACTATGCTTGTCGTACAAGGGGACTAACGGGATCGGGTGGTCAGGCTCGCTGACTTGGTTGATGCATGTCATCAATCCCAATTGCGTGGATCGATGCTCATGATATTAATCACTGGATTGTCTGGTCCAGAGTCGATTATTTACAGACCGCCGTCATATAGCTGGAATATTGCTGTGTGCGGCGTAAAACAACCAACCAACCAACCAACATCAATCATTGACATGATTATGATGCAACAGGGATGACGTCAGTCGGATACAGAATGCAACAATCATCGAAGTCTCTGTTGCCCCTAAACCTAACAAGATATGATGTCACAGTCGGCTACATACGTGTATGTTGTCCCTAAAAGTTGAAAAATACTCTCGAAGACAATTTTATTGTTTTTCTGCCCAAATGTATCGCAACACACACTTTGAACATTATAGCAACTGCAACTGTATACTGTGGACTATAATTGTACATATATTACAACTTCAAACAATGATTGAGAAAGAAGTACTTTCCTATAAACGTAAACTTCTTTGGTCATACTGCCATCAAATCAGCTTCAAGTAGAGGTGGTTACTGTGATTTGAACATGTTGAAGCCTCGGATTGAATCATGGTAGATTAACCTGGAATATCTAAATCTGTAAAAATGGAATTCCCTTTGTGCACAGAACACCAGCCAGACCTATATGAAGAAAATCCCAAACATAGCACTATACCATTAACCTCGGTTTGGGATTAAGAATAATCGCTCGGTGACTACCTCTAAAGTGTGCCTATCACATAGAGTAATGCTGAATGAACTGACCTGTTGAGATGGCTGTACCGCTGTCGCCAGTTTCGTTTTCTCTCTAGTTCCCCGGTGTTATCATCCTTCAGCTTCATCCCGTAGAAGTCCAGCATCATCTTGTACGACGTTAAAACTCGTCCACAAGTCTTTGGGTCCTTCCTAATTGCCTGAGCAACAAACAAGGTACAATACTTTTGAAACTAAAAGTATTGTTTAGTAGATTTATGACAGTCTCAGTACTAAGACAATCGTAACTCCCGTACTTTAACATAGACTTACAACAGTTTTATTTGTTTGATCATGGGTCTTTTCTGCCAAATTACAGTTTTTACTTTTACCGACTCATGTTGAACTATTTCATATGAAAAGACAGAAGCATAAATGCTCAAATTTATAATTGACATAACATAAATTATCAACAGTATATTTTTAAAAATCAAAAATTCTAAATGTGCCATTCAGGCACTAGGAACTTATCTTACATTCCGTGAAATGCCTAAAATTTATATATACCGTAATTGATGTAATAAGTGCCCAGGGCGCTATCAAAATTAGAAATAGGGGGCTCTTATTAGAATATTATTTTGGTGAAAAAAAACAGAGTTGAAAGATATATTTCGTGGATTATGGTGACAGCCTGAAATGTTTATGTACGACAGATATATTTTTCCAGAATTTAATTGCTCATAACTAAGGGTGCATATAACACATGAGTGTGTATTATACGCGAATAAATAAGTCTTGTGTACATTGATCAATTGGAAGGGGTGCTAATTGGGATTGTTCACTAGCCAATAGATCAGCAAATATCTCTGTGGGCGCTTATTACGTCGAATACGGTGTTCTAATGACTGTTGTTATACAAGGGAGTCTGCGCTGTAAACTGAACAGCCCAACATAAGCATGTGAAATTTGCATGTTGCCAAACTACCACTGCCTTTTCTGTAATTAAATGCTGTCAAATGAAAAGTCTAGATCAGAAGCATATATTTCTGTAGTAGTGATAAAGCGAAATAGCAAGGGGAATCTGCAAAATATCCTCAATGCGATGTTGGTGATGTTCGTAGTATTGCTATTCAGCTAGTTTCACATGCAAATAATCCAGGAAACAGAACAATCTCAAAATAGCATTACAATATGGTACATGATTAAATCACAGATGATTGGAAAACCTTGGTATTCACATTTATAATTATTTTAAGTCGGAGGAGGTGCAATGACAAAGTTGAGACCGGAAGCTTCATATTGTAAAAGAGAGGGTTTGGATCATGCAACTGTCAGTCAAATTGTTATTTCAGTTGACAGTGACAGTGACAGTGACAGTGACAATGGAAATATTTCAAAATAGAAGTTTTGAGACTATCCTTGTGTTTCGCTATTCCCTTCAGCTATTATGATTATTGTGCAAACCCCCTTGTAACAACAGGCATTAAAACACCAACAATGAAATGAGAGCTTGTTAAACAAGTTTTTCAACCTTCCATGACAATGTCGGAAATTATAACAAACAGTAACTTTTGTGCCATTTAAGATGAATTGTTGATTTCAGATTTATATCAATTATGCATTTCATCGGTACGATTTTGCAGCAAACTGACTGTAACTAAGCCTGTATGACAGTAAGCGTGCCATATGGCACAGTGATAGAAGGAATTCTCAACTCTACATGTTGAATGTTATCATACCTCAGCTTCCTTAACTTGTAATTCTTGAGCATAGAAGTTCATTCCATTTTCTCGGATAGGAAACAACCTGTTTCAATGAAGAGAACAATATTTTACATAATGTTTACATTCTAATTGAACTGAATGTAGACAAATATGAACACAAGTCGTGACAACTAAAGTTGCTGATTTTATTCCTTTTAGAACAGAGCATTCAGAGATCATCAAAAAAGAAATCACAAACAAACCTCTGGCTACCATGCCTCGTGACCTTGGACTGATATTTAAATACACTCATACACACTTCCATGGAAATTGAAAATACAACAAAAGTGAGAAACATAAAACGTCCAGTCCCCCTGAGACCGCCCTGTTTGTGTCTTAACATTAGGAAGTTGTCAACATTCCACTCAAAAGCAAATTCAACAAAGAACTTTTTTCCAGAAACAATCCTAATCCTGCTCTCAGTGTTTCCATTACATTGATAGCGAGTGAGTGAGTGAGTGAGTGAGTGAGTGAGTGATGTGGGAGTATTTCAGTTATATCACGGCGTGTCAGCTTGATGTGGGAGTATTCCAGTTATATCATGGCGTGTCAGCTTGATGTTGGAGTATTCCAGTTATATCACGGCGTGTCAGCTTGATGTGGGAGTATTCCAGTTATATCACGGCGTGTCAGCTTGATGTGGGAGTATTCCAGTTATATCATGGCGTGTCAGCTTGATGTGGGAGTATTCCAGTTATATCACAGTGTGTCAGCTTGATGTGGGAGTATTCCAGTTATATCATGGCTTGTCAGCTTGATGTGGGAGTATTCCAGTTATATCACGATGTGTCAGCTTGATGTGGGAGTATTCCAGTTATATCATGGCGTGTCAGCTTGATGTGGGAGTATTCCAGTTATATCATGGCGTGTCAGCTTGATGTGGGAGTATTCCAGTTATATCATGGCGTGTCAGTTTGATGTGGGAGTATTCCAGTTATATCATGGCGTGTCAGCTTGATGTGGGAGTATTCCAGTTATATCACAGTGTGTCAGCTTGATGTGGGAGTATTCCAGTTATATCATGGCCTGTCAGCTTGATGTGGGAGTATTCCAGTTATATCACGATGTGTCAGCTTGATGTGGGAGTATTCCAGTTATATCATGGCGTGTCAGCTTGATGTGGGAGTATTCCAGTTATATCATGGCGTGTCAGCTTGATGTGGGAGTATTCCAGTTATATCACAGTGTGTCAGCTTGATGTGGGAGTATTCCAGTTATATCATGGCGTGTCAGCTTGATGTGGGAGTATTCCAGTTATATCATGGCGTGTCAGCTTGATGTGGGAGTATTCCAGTTATATCATGGCGTGTCAGCTTGATGTGGGAGTATTCCAGTTATATCACAGTGTGTCAGCTTGATGTGGGAGTATTCCAGTTATATCATGGCGTGTCAGCTTGATGTGGGAGTATTCCAGTTATATCACAGTGTGTCAGCTTGATGTGGGAGTATTCCAGTTATATCATGGCGTGTCAGCTTGATGTGGGAGTATTCCAGTTATATCACGATGTGTCAGCTTGATGTGGGAGTATTCCAGTTATATCATGGCGTGTCAGCTTGATGTGGGAGTATTCCAGTTATATCATGGCGTGTCAGCTTGATGTGGGAGTATTCCAGTTATATCATGGCGTGTCAGCTTGATGTGGGAGTATTCCAGTTATATCACAGTGTGTCAGCTTGATGTGGGAGTATTCCAGTTATATCATGGCCTGTCAGCTTGATGTGGGAGTATTCCAGTTATATCACGATGTGTCAGCTTGATGTGGGAGTATTCCAGTTATATCACGGCGTGTCAGCTAGATGTGGGAGTATTCCAGTTATATCACGATGTGTCAGCTTGATGTGGGAGTATTCCAGTTATATCATGGCGTGTCAGCTTGATGTGGGAGTATTCCAGTTATATCATGGCGTGTCAGCTTGATGTGGGAGTATTCCAGTTATATCAAGGCGTGTCAGCTTGATGTGGGAGTATTCCAGTTACGTCACGGCGTGTCAGCTTGATGTGAGAGTATTTCAGTTATATCTCAGCTTGTCAGCTTGATGTGGGAGTATTTCAGTTAAATCACGGCTTGTCAGCTTGATGTGAGAGTATTTCAGTTATATCTCAGCTTGTCAGCTTGATGGGAGAGTATTTCAGTTATATCACAGCTTGTCAGCTTGATGTGGGAGTAATTCAGTTATATCTCAGCTTGTCAGCTTGATGTGGGAGTATTTCAGTTATATAACGGCTTGTCAGCTAGATGTGGGAGTATTTCAGTTATATCATGGCGTGTCAGCTTGATGTGGGAGTATTCCAGTTATATCATGGCATGTCAGCTTGATGTTGGAGTATTCCAGTTATATCACGGCGTGTCAGCTTGATGTGGGAGTATTCCAGTTATATCATGGCGTGTCAGCTTGATGTGGGAGTATTCCAGTTATATCATGGCGTGTCAGCTTGATGTGGGAGTATTCCAGTTATATCACAGCGTGTCAGCTTGATGTGGGAGTATTCCAGTTATATCACAGTGTGTCAGCTTGATGTGGGAGTATTCCAGTTATATCATGGCCTGTCAGCTTGATGTGAGAGTATTTCAGTTATATCTCAGCTTGTCAGCTTGATGTGAGAGTATTTCAGTTATATCACAGCTTGTCAGATTGATGTGAGAGTATTTCAGTTATATCTCAGCTTGTCAGCTTGATGTGGGAGTATTTCAGTTATATAACGGCTTGTCAGCTAGATGTGGGAGTATTTCAGTTATATAACAGCATGTCAGCTTGATGTGGGAGTATTTCAGTTATATAACAGCTTGTCAGCTTGATGTGGGAGTATTCCAGTTATATCACGGTGTGTCAGCTTGATGTGGGAGTATTCCAGTTATATAACAGCATGTCAGCTTGATGTGGGAGTATTTCAGTTATATAACAGCTTGTCAGCTTGATGTGGGAGTATTCCAGTTATATCACAGTGTGTCAGCTAGATGTGGGAGTATTTCAGTTATATAACAGCTTGTCAGCTAGATGTGGGAGTATTTCAGTTATATAACATCATGTCAGCTTGATGTGGGAGTATTCCAGTTATATCACGGTGTGTCAGCTTGATGTGGGAGTATTCCAGTTATATAACATCATGTCAGCTTGATGTGGGAGTATTCCAGTTATATCACGGTGTGTCAGCTTGATGTGGGAGTATTTCAGTTATATCACGGTGTGTCAGCTTGATGTGGGAGTATTTCAGTTATATCATGGTGTGTCAGCTTGATGTGGGAGTATTTCAGTTATATAACAGCTTGTCAGCTAGATGTGGGAGTATTCCAGTTATATCACGGTGTGTCAGCTTGATGTGGGAGTATTTCAGGGCGAACAGGAAATCTCACCCCTGATCATAGATTTCTGGCATGACAAAGGAACGCCAGAACTTCGATGACTGGCGACCTGTGACCCCCTATTAAATAAATAACAGAATAGTTGTGATCATGGTCCTGAAATGTGCTGTGATGTGTGTTCAAAGTTTCACAACCATGACAAGTGATCCTCAGGTATTTGGTCAGCATGGGCAGGCAGCAACATCAGTCACTAGTCCAAAGCCAGAGTTTAGTCACATTTCTCCTGAGTGAGTGAGTGAGTGAGTGAGTATGGTTTTACGCCGCTTTTAGCAATATTCCAGCAATATCACGGCGGGGGACACCAGAAAAGGGCTTCACACATTGATTCCATGTCGGGAATCGAACCCAGGTCTTCGGCGTGATGAGCAAACGCTTTAACCACTAGGCTACCCTACCGCCCCAAATTTCTTCTGATTTAGTAAGATCAGCATATACTAGTATACATAGTATATATACTAAGGCAGAAATCTTCTGAAAATGATGTCTAAAATAAAGATTGTCCTAATAGTTCTGCTTAGTTTGGTCCACATCTTTACACTATAGTTTACTGAAACTGTTCGGGCAAGTACATATAGTAGACTCTTTCTGACACTGACTGTGAGCTGTATATACAAAATGTAATGACCACATTTTAGGATGTGTGGATGAATGGACTGTGGAAGATCACATGCCGTTCAGCGGATAAAAAAAAAGAATTACAAATAACTTGTTTTTCCCCACATTTCAAGAACTAGTATTTGTGTATATGTGGAATTATTACCAAAGGAAAAAACCTTTACAAGAAGAAGTAAATATTTTTGCTATCACGTTGTTACTGCCATCGAATTATTGGACAACTTACCACTGTATGTAACCATGGTGACTCTCAAGTTTGTCGTAGTCTCCATACCATTTCTCGTGTATGACATCAATTTTGTCACCTGCAATACAGGATAATAGTGGTAACCATATTCTGAGAAGCATAACAGGTGAACAGTTCTTCAGTCATTTAATGGCATGTCAGCTTAACATTGGAGGGAAGTCTGCAGTGCTGCGTAAATAAAAGAGTTTGTATTGATGTTTGAGGAAAACTGGTTATGTTGTGCCACATGTTTTCCTTGCAGCAGCAGAAATTTGCAGCAGAATTCATCTGGGAGTGAAAGGGCTGGGTGAGTGAGTGAGTGAGTGAGTGAGTGAGTGAGTGATGTTGGGATCGGTAGGAGAGAGAGAGAGAGAGAGAGAGAGAGAGAGAGAGAGAGAGAGGGGGGGGAGGGAGAGGGAGAGAAAGAGAGAGAACTGTCTGCCATTAGTGACAAATTCATGAGCACAGGGAACATAATCATGGGATTTGAACCCATGAGTCACACCGCCTGAGAGCCAAGGGATGCAACTCTGCACCATCCAGAACACTAGGCCACTTATACCCTGCTGCTGTTCTGGCATGACAGACAATTCATTTATTCAACTTATGACATAAAATTTAGTGACAATACATCTCCAAACGATGCTATCAAGTCTTCATGTACATACCATTTGGACGTGATGTGAGGCGGTTTGTGTAAAATTCTAAGTTGAGTGTTCCAGAAATGTCCTTCTTCCCCTGGAACAAGCCAAAGAACATACAGAAAACTTCACGTCTCTCTGAAACAGACTCCAGATTATTCCAGATTTCCATCAGTACCGGACACAATTGATGCGAGTTTACAATGTTAACTTATCATCAAGTTAAATCTGCCTAATGCAGACTTCCATCTCTCTGGATGACAGACAGAAATTGTGGGACAAAGGACCAATTTATCACAGTCTGGATGATCCTTTCACACATTTCAGTCACACATTCCATCAGCTGTTCTCATCAACAAGCAATGTGTCTACAACTAGTACTGATGCCGGGAATGTAGTCGCGATAGCAGCAATGTAACTTTGAAGACATCTGCAATTACTACTAAGCATGCTGAGTCTAATGTGTCACTGCATCTCTAAGACTTTCACGTCTGCCTTTAGATCCATGAAGATCCAGGGTAGAATAGGTCTTCAGCAACCCATGTATGCCGTAAACGGCGACTATGCTTGTCGTAAGAGGCGACTAACGAGATCGGGTGGTCAGGCTCGATGATTTGGTTGATGCATGTCATTGGTCCCAATTGCATGGATCGATGCTTGTGATATCAATCCCTGGATTGTCTGGTCCAGGCTCCATTATTTACAGACTGGTGCATATAGCTGGAATATTGCTGAGTGCAGCATTAAACAGCAAACCAACCAACAACCAACGCCTGTCCCTGACTTCAACATGTTCAAAAGTTCTTTCACTACAATAACATACATTTATCATGTTTATAAATCTATGTTGTTGTTTTTTTGGTACTAATACAGGATCCAGAGACATATGCCTGTGAAAGGCAAGGGATGTAACTCTTGCTGGAATCAGATTTAAGTCTAATCTGGGCTACTGTCAAAAATTGTTCAAAGAGAAGTACAAAAATCAGTGTTAGAAATTAGCACTAGACGTATAGTCCTTGCCGAACTGCCTGAATGTTAAGGTATTATAAGGACTAGTAGAAATTTGCCATTATTAAGGGTTTTGCTATATGTTTTCATTATAAGGACTAGTGGGCTTAAACAGTTAGTTTGTGTTGCTGAATAATGAGAAGAACAAACAAAAGCAAACTATATGTACATGATTTATGACAAGTTTGATCAAATTTATCCCATGTTCACCATGGTTACACTGTCATGGCGGGGGCACCAAGAGAGGGCATCCTGTACATCGTGCCAGATCAATGAGTAAGCGTATGATATAATGCGAAATGTCCCTTACTGAAGGGTGAAAATGTCTATGTACCATGAGATGCAATGAACTTTGTCACAAAGTGGTCTCATGTGACAAGCAGAAGAAAATCTAGAAGGACTTGTTGATTCTCACAAAATCTAATTAGATTACAAAAACTGCTAGTCTGAAGGACACTGTAGACTAGGATCAGACTAATGATGTCTGGCTCTGTTAGTAGGTCATTCATCATGTTCATACAAAAGTGCATCTTCCCGAGGCAAGGGAGTTAACTGACTTTGAAAGTCCAGTTTTACACCCTTGCTGACAAGGCTGGAATTTCTGGGCCTGGTCGTAACACTACCAGTGGCTCTTACAAGTAATGTCCCTCATCATGCTCATATGTCTCTCCTACTGACCAATCAGATTCTACCTCTCATATCACTTGAGTGCCAAGTCACAATGATCTGATCGATGATCCAGATCTATATTGTGATAAAACGGGTCTGACATCATCAAATCAGGTGAGGCGAATAAAAACATGAAAAGATTTGGAAAATCTGTTTATGCTGTGTTGGCAGTACACATGCTTTGCAAATCCTGCAATCGACCAGAATTGGCACGATAGTTTATGAACCGGATGTTGATTTCGTTATGTGACTTTGATTGGACTATGTATCGACTTGTTGGTCCAGCCAAAATATAGCTCCATAACACCAGCCTAGTTGGGCAAAGGTGGAAACTTTCATAGTCAGTTAACTCCCTTGCTTCGGGTAGATGTCCGCAATTGAACAGTTGGTAGTAAACAGCACATGAGAGCTTGGATTGGGAAACATTGCATATATCTTCAGAACATGCATTACAATTACTCATAGTGACAAGATAAAACAGAATCAACTAATACTATCAATGAGTCCCCATTCCTAAGAGGGACCCTGAGAATTGGATCTGCACCTTCATCTGGAGTGAAATGGGTTATATTGCGGTCTGTCAGCTTAATGTGGGAGGAAAGCCTGAAGTGATGCAGGTCTTACACGTTTACCACTTAGGTGAAACCCATGAGCACAGGTATGGTGCTGACAAACCTAGAAACATAATCGAGGCGAACCGGGATTCAAACCCACAATCCTAGGTTTCTGGCGTGCTCAAGAGATGCAACTCTCCACAGCGAATCGCGGCGCCTCAGACGACTGGACCAACCATGCCCCCCACTATTAACTAGACAAAAATGCAGCAAGTTGATAATTTCCTAGGTTACTTGAGTCAAATTGATCGTTTACCACTGATTTTGATTTTGCTGGAGACAAATGTCCTTTGGACCAGGGTTTTACGTCACGCACAAATGTGAGATTGGACGCAGGAAAAGAATATACTGCATCCCAACATCAAGAGCAGGTAATCGGTGTCTGCTATTTTATCCATCAATCATGACCATTGATTCATTTCAGGCTCTCCAGCAATTAAGTAAACTTATAGTTCACTACACCATTTCATTACTTTACAGGACCCTCATACTGCCTGCAAGGACCCTTTACATTACTCATCTGGACCCAACTTTTGTAAATCAAGGTAAATCCCTGCTTTGGATATTTTCATGATTTTAGCAAATTTTCATAGGTCATTCATCTATATCATAACCAAAGTTATCTGAAGGACATTTGGGATGACAATCGGTCAATGTCCTGGAGTATGAACCATTCTGACACTCTGTTTAAAAGAAGGGAAACTTTTATGCAAACCAAGGTTCATGAATTTCAAGTTATAGAAGCGATCAACTTACAAGGGGTGAGTTGTGTTTAAATCTGCTTTTGACAGTATTCCTGTTATATCACGGCGTGTCAGCTCAATGTGGGAGGAAAACCCCGAAGCATGGGTATGGTGCTGACAAACCAAGAAACATAATGGGGGCGAACCCGGATTCGAACCCACAATCATAGATTTCTGGTGTGCCCAAGGGACGGAAATCTGCATAGTGAATTGTGGCACCTTAGACGACTGGGCCACCCATGCCCCCCAACTTTCAAGGACATTTGTAAAACAATACATGTACCTCAATAACACAGGTGGTATTTGTCGTCTTTACTTACTGCATACATTGAAAATAAATAACTAATAAGACAGGCTTATTTCAAATGCTGCTAAACTTATGGTAGTGATAACCATTGACGACAATAGATGGAAACACACTTCTTAGATAAGTGGCAAACTGGATAAATGGCAAACCTGATAAGTAGGTACTCTTGGCTCAGTCCTTGACTTGCCACTTGACCATGCTAATTACAGTTGACTGTAAATCGTGAAATGAAGGCATCACCTAAATTAATGTGAACGTCGAACCCTAGCCTAAAATGTGGCATGGAGTTAATGAACTTGTTTTGACATGTTAAAGGACCTTCTTCCAAAGTAATTACAGTTAATTTAAAATAGCCTTTCAATACATCCAACCACTTGGAAAGAATAATACCTTTCTCTTCTTATTGAAGTATTTTTAACATGTTTAGTGTTCCTTGTGAAACGTAAACACTTGTCTGGGCCTGGGAGCCTTCTGGCTGGTACACTTACCGGGTATCCCTTCCTATAATCCTCTGTGTCTTTCTGACTCCATCGCCTCGTGAACGCATGTTTCCGTGGATTTCTAGACTAAAATAGAAAAGTTTTCATTCTGTAACACAACAAGAATATATCTATATGGAGAAACGATCTGTTAGCACTGGCACTGAGGTTAAAAGGAGCTGTTTATTAAGAGTGAGTGAGTTTGGTTTAATGCTGCTTTTTACAGTATTACAGTCATATTGGGTGTGTCGGCTTAATGTGGGAGGAAAGCTCAAAGTGATGCAGGTCTCAGACGTTTACCACTTCAGCGAAACCCAGGAGCACGGGTATGGTGCTGACAAACCTAGAAACATAATCGGGCTAACCAGGATTCAAACCCACAATCATAGGTTTCTGGCATGCCCAAGGGACGCAACTCTTCACAGCGAATCGCGGAGCGTTAGACAACTGGGCCACCTGTGCCCGCTGTTTATAAAGACAAAAGAAAGAATGATGAAAATAACGTACAACCTTTCACACACACAAACATAGTTTCAGATACTGGACCAGGTGAATTATTCATATGTCGAGTGAGTGAGTGGGTGAGTGGGTGAGTGGGTGGGTGGGTGGGTGGGTGAGTGAGTGAGTGAGTGAGTGAGTGAGTGAGTGAGTGAGTGAGTGAGTGAGTGAGTGAGTGAGTGAGTGAGTGAGTGAGTGAGTGAGTGAGTGAGTGAGTGAGGACGTTTTTCAGAGGCCGATATTCAGCCCCAAATCTGCAACAAATGACAGTACAAATTCCTAATTTGAATTAATAATTTCTTAATTCCTCAGAATGGACGAAACTATAACCATTAGAATATCCAGTTTTTAACAGTATCACAATTTTTTCACAAATTTGCCAGCCAAGGAAACTAAGTCTGGACCCCACAACCGTTATCGCTAAACAAAGATCTGAGGATATCCCATTAGGGGTCACGTCAGAATGACCTTTCATCTGACCAATCAGAGCATCGCTTACCAGATCATGAAAGTGACAGTCGGAATGTGAATTCTAATCATGCAACCTCGAAAATTTTAACACGGGGTATTCTGAACGATAATTACGGGCTTATCGACTGAATCCATACAATCTAGACCATCTATTAGCCATTCCAGAATGTTCTTTTGTTCAGGTTACAAATTTTTAAGCAAGAATTTGTCAAAATGTGTTTCGAAGCGTAGTAGCCAATTTGAAATTAGTGCCATAAAGCATGATAAAGCTGCCTTCTGATTGGCTAATGTCGACTTCTTGTGAGTCATTCCATTAGTTGGCCAAATTTTGCGCAAGGTCGGTCTGCCGTGACCCCTAATGGGATGTCCTCAGATCTTTACTTAGTGGTAGTGAGAACTAAGATCTGATTTTAATGAGATTGCAATAAGCAATATTAGTTTGATACATTAATCAGCGTTTTTCCTTGACCTACAAATCTGGGGGTCCAGTGGACTCCCACAGAATAATTTCAAGGGTCCCTACAGGAAAGGGTTCTGTAAAGTGAAGAAATCATGAAGAGTAGTGTAGTGTAAGTGTAAGATTTGATAATTACTCTTATTACAAGAGCTTTGTCAAGAATTGGGATCAATGAATATACTATATGCCTTCCTCGCGATTTAATAAAAAAATATTTTGTATCCATGTTATACATTTGTGCGTACTGGACGCACATATCTGCATCGTGTAAAACCCTGATTAAAATAGAAATATGGGGATAGTGATATATCACCAGGCCAAAATTATCAATATTTGTGTCTAAAAAATATGGTACACAACTGCAAAAAAACCCAAAAAAACCGCCCACCCACACTATATTTTCAAAAGTCATTGGACCTGTGAAGATCCGGGGTAGAATAGGTCTTCAGCAACCCATGCTTGCCGTACAAGGCTAATAAGCGTGTCGTAAGAGGCGACTAACGGGATCGGGTGGTCAGACGCGCTGACTTGGTTGATGCATCTCATCATATCCCAATTGCGTACATCGATGCTCTTGATGTCAATCACTGGACTATCTGGTCCAGATTTGATTATTTACAGACCGCTGTCATATATTCATCAGAAACGAAAGTAGCTGTGTGTCATATTCATGATATTGGATCGCTATATTTTTTAAGTATTAGATTATTAATTTTTAGGGAAAATGGAAACAAAAACGAAACATGTGACAGACTTTATGATGATGCGGGCGGTGCCTGAGAACCAAGACTATTATTTTTTTTAGCCTTACAGCAAACATGGGTTGGGAAATATGTGATCATATGATGGTCTTCACGGGGTATTTCATGAAAACAAGGTGAGAAGTTTAGGCTGATTTTCAAACCTTGTGCACCAAGAGCATGCAAAGCACAGCCAGTAGTCCTGCACCATGACTGTGGAAAATATACATTTTATGAAACCCAATACCAGATTAGATCATTCAATAAAAAGCAAGACTAGCCAGCAATGTATGAAATCAGCATCAGACAACAAAATAGAGGAGAGATATATTGTGTCATAAAGATTTCCCAGATCATGTTATTCTACGTAGCCAGTCCCAAGCTGTGAAATACCATGCCTGATGGATCATGATAGTCTGTCAAACCAGTAGAATTTTGAATTTCACTTGTCTGGGGACAGAAAAAGCATTAAATCACTTCTTTATCGTACTAGGAACATGCCATTCAGGTGTGGGGCTGTCTTGGATATCAAGGATAAAAATATTTTTGTGACCTCCACAAACGCCAAGATAACATTGATAAGCATGATAAGATACAAATGTCCTTGAAAATCCAAATCATTTGGGTACAAGCCATTAGGACAAACTTGGTTCAAAACAAGTAGATCTTTACTGGCCATGACAAGTGATCATTTCCTCACAAGCCACACCCATCTGTATGTATTTGGCAATAGCATGATGAGGTGAAATGCTCCATGTCTATCAAGTATCTGGGACTTATGGAGACTAGATATTTTTTCAGCCCCAGATAATTAAAATTATGAGCCTAAATATTTCATTTTGAAGAAAAAAACCCACCTCACAACAATGGATTTTTAGCAGACAAATTTGTTTTCAACACTGAAATATCATTAATTTTTTTCAAGCATTATTCTGGGATCTCTTTTCGATAAAATCTGACCTCCATCTCCCAAGATTAGCAAATGGTCCGTCCCTTCTGTGTGTATCATGTACTGTATCGGCCATAGTCGTGACAATAAGCCCCCTGGACAACTTTAACTTTAACTTTAACTTTAACAGTCATATTAAAACCAGAAACAACCTTAAACTTGGTACAAATGACCATGAAACTAAAACTTTTTCAATAATAGTTACCATGGTTACTGAGCAGTAAAATACCCCTCATACACTGCTGTGTTTTATGTAAAAAGAACAGTTATTGGTTATGTGCACAATAAAATGTGGATTGTCATGTAAATCTACAGGCTTTGTAACAGGTGCTTATTAAGATTATGTAAATGCTGATGATAAAATGGATGAAGAGGATATGTATCAATGAGGCAGAGGTGAACAACATGCTCAATTTCCATCCCTATATTCACATGTGTTTCCTTTATGTTTCCCGAGGCTGAAGATGAATGGGTTACTGCCTCACAGGCAGGAGGGGCATCCTTGTTAGGCCAAAAAAAAATAATAGTCTTGGCACCACCTGCATCAGCATAGAGTTTGCCACACTATTCGTTTTTATTGCCATTTAAAACAGAAAATCCTAAAATATTCCAAGTATGAAAATTTGTCCTACTAAGTGGGGTTTAACGCTGCTTTTAACAGTATTCCAGTCATATCACGGCGTGTCAGCTTAATGTGGAAGGAAAGCCCAAAGTGATTTCTGGACTAAAATAGAAAAGTTTTCATTCTGTAACACAACAAGAATATATCTATATGGAGAAACGATCTGTGAGCACTGGCACTGAGGTTAAAAGGAGCTGTTAATTAAGAGTGAGTGAGTTTGGTTTAATGCTGCTTTTTACAGTATTACAGTCATATCGCGGTGTGTCAGCTTAATGTGGGAGGAAAGCTCAAAGTGATGCAGGTCTCAGACGTTTACCACTTCAATGAAACCAATGAGCATGGGTATGGTGCTGACAAACCTAGAAACATAATCAGGGCGAACCAGGATTCGAACCCACGATCATAGGATTCTGGCACGCCCAAGGGACGCAACTCTGCACAACGAATCGCGGCGCCTTAGACGACTGGGCCACCCGTGCCCCCTTAGTCCCAATAAATATTCTTTTGCTGATGCAGACAGTGCCTGGCAGTTTCACAACATGCACAAAGGATAGTTATTCCTGTCTGTCACATACAAACACATCTGCTTAAATGGAAAATATAATGGTGTTCTATTGATTGCAATCATTACAACAGATGTTAATGCCTTACCAAAATTCCGGAATATTCTTTCTATTCGGGCATGCTATGTATTATACTAGTTATATATTTGACTGATCATGCTGACTAAGACAGGCATTCATCATGTGTTCATGTTTATAAAAGTGAAGTATGCTTAAGCAAGGAGCACTACTATTCAAGGGTTACTCATCGACAATAATCCAGGGTATCATATCTTCATTCCATAATCCATAATCCATACTAGGGCTGGGACGATACACCAACTGTGTGATCCGATACATATCACGATACCTTGCTCACGATCCAATATGTATAACCATACATGCATGTGGCTCTTATCTGTGGTGCAAAAGCATTTTTTTTCATAGACAAGATGACCAAATACCTCACACACTGATGAATTACAGTTGGCAGTGTCAAGTATGACACAAAGGATGAAATTATTTATTTTGTCACCACTAATGTTCACTATTAACTAGTGTTTGATGTAACGGTTATTAAAGCAAACAGTTATGGTAAGAATAGATATTTTTTACTTTGTTTGTGACTGTGCTCGATACTTGTATCGATAGGTAAAATATCACGATTCCCTGATGCATCAGTGTATCATCCCACCACAAATACATACCCAGGACTAACTCCCTACCATAGCCTCGTTTTGTGAAAGACATTGCCATCCGGTGTTTGAAAAAAATAAATTGTCTGGCTGCCATCAGGCCTTACAAACTTTAGAAGTTGAAGGCCCTGACTAAACTCTTCAGGCCCTCGTTTGAAAACAAAAACCTGCGGTTATTGGGACAAATAGACACATAAAATAACTGCAGGTCATAAGCACCCATATAAATTTGAAACTTTGGGCCCGACACGAGATCTACCTGCCATGGGCCTGGAAGCAGACTCCTATTTCGAACACTGTCCCCATCTCTTTATATTAGCAACTCTGCACAGACTTTGCATCTGCTAACAGGGGTAATCTGATTGGATGGCTATTTTCAAGTTGTATACTGGACTCAAAAGGAAGCTATGGTGACAAATTGTTTGTTTGTTTGTTGTTTAACGCTGCACTCAGCAATATTCCAGCTATATGACAGCAGTCTTTAAATAATTGAGTCTGGACCAGACAATCCAGTGTTTGACATCATGAGCATTGACCTACGCAATTGGAATATGATGACATGCATCAACCAAGTCAGCAAGCCTGACCACCTGATCCTGTTAGTCGCCTCTTAAGACAAGCATAGTCGCCTTTTACGGCAAGAATGTATGGTGACAAATGGGTCCAAGGCACATATCATAATAGAATGGAGATATAAACACTGAATTAGTAGGGATGGATACTACAACATGTAAAATGCACAAATCATATGTTATTCAGGAAAGGGCTCATTTCACTAATACTGTGCTGAGAATGTACTCAATGCATTAATGTAACCATGTCAACAAACTTTCATCATTAGACCTGAACACCGAAGAGCAAAAAAGACCTCAAGACATTCTACTATCTATATTGACTTACTACCACGAAAGAATCAGAGTCAGCGCAAATAGAGGGAGAAAATGGAGCAGTCCTACACCATTGTTCATGGAAGGTGCCTACCCTTTCTGTACTAGATCGCCAGGGTTTGGACCATGCTTCCTCATACTCGTCACTCGATGACTGAAGAAACAATACATGTGCTTCAGTCATAGACAGACATGACGTAAAATGACCAAATCTCCAAGCTGAATACAGAGGTTTTTATATAAACTAGGAATCAAGAATGTTAGACAATGTTAAACTAGAAGCATTAAGCAAGGCATAATAACACCAATAAAGAACATTAAGTTAGTCAAATATAATTTGATTTTACCAAGTTATTCTTCTGCCTCTAGGCCCAAAATATTTGTGGTGGTTCACCATGTACAAATATCCCAAGACAAAAGTCTATATCTTTATGACATTAATGTTCTTTTTGCTTAATTCTGCAGCATTACCGTATTCGACGTAATAAGCGCCCCGCTCTAATAAGCGCCCGCGGCGATATTTGCTACCATATTGGCTAGTGAACAATCCCAATTAGCACCCCTTCCGATTGATCAATGTACACAAAACTTATTTATTCGCGTATAATACGCACTCGTGTCTCACATGCACCCTTAATTATGGGCAATTAAATTCTGGAAAAATGCATCTGTCGTATATAAACATTTCAGGCTGTCAGCATAAACCACGAAATTTATCCTTTAACTCTGTTTTTTTCACCAAAATAATATCCTAATAAGAGCCCCCTATATCTAATTTTGAGAGCGCCCTGGGCGCTTATTACGTCGAATACGGTAATCCCTATTTGTGTATGGTGTAAGAGAAGGACATTGCTCAAGTAACTCATATGAGATTCATAGAAAGAATGTGAGAAACATGCTGAGCCACCACAAAATTCTACATGTTCTAAGGCCTAGTCTTATGTCTAAAATAAAAAAATATTTATCATGTTCATATTTGTCATATTTATCTTTATCATGTTCCTTTAATGTCTTTTAGCATTACATTCACATGAATAGTTTTAAGGAAAAATGTTTTGCAAATGATGTTATTTTGTACTTGTTGATGTTTAACCAGGCCTACTATATTTTATCAGTTGATTTACAAAAGCAACTCACGATAGTGACATATAAAAAAATGAAATCAGAACAAACAAACATTGTGAAATTTATGTTGTTCCACATGAACAGTTTCTTGGGACCAATTGGTGTGATGGAGGCGAGAAAAAAAAAGAAAAATGCCTAGATCAATTAAAACAAATTGACATCACAGATTTATTGGGCCAACTTGGTTTGAACATGTTGATGGAGGAATAAAAAACAACAAATTAGAAAATCTTAATCATTTCCTGACTTATCACTGCTAATGATGCTAATGGAGTAACTACTGCATCTTCTTGTGTATAGTGCGCACTGTTTTCCCCCGTAAATACAGCTATGAAGAACAGCGTGAGCATACACGCATACAATGAGTTTTGATGTTTTTTCTCGAAAGCAAAGAAATTAACGTGAGATGATTTGCATGTGACACCAGAAATACCATGTCAACAAATCCACACTGGTATCTGCATGATCTGGTTATAAAAAGTGTTCATTTTCATCTGGATTTAACATAATATGTTCTTATAATCTATTTCATCCCTCTTATTCCAAATTGACAGCACTCCAATCGACTCCTTGAAACAAACCTTGGTTGTCAGGGAATGGAAATCATATCACAAATACCATACCTTGACCCATTAAAAGTCATATTCATTGTTGTTTGACAATATGTCTACATATTGTACTCACTATCGAAATATCAAGAGTGCGCGAACCCTCAAATGATGACCCATCAAACTTGACCACATAAAATACATCTGGCAAAATACCAAGGTGCTACGCTTATCATTATTATTATTTTAAACATGTTATAGTAAAAACTGCAACTAAAATAACACACAATATTGGTATACATTATTCATAGTAAAACAACAGTTTCAGATACATTTACTTCTGATCATTGCATTAAATTATTAAGTATTTCTTAACTGAATCACCGGTAGCAAATGTGTGCACAGTTGGTTGCTATTTCTTGGTCAGTTTCAAAGACAAATACACATGGTATACTTAATCTCTGCATATAAAACAACGCCTATCATAGCAGGAATTACAATTGAAATGGTAATTTATCATGTCTACATGGTCTAGTGATGTCTCATTGCAAAATTCACATTTTAAATAGATCAATACTTTAGATTGTTGGTGAACTACATTTCAAATCGATCAATATTTTAGATTGTTGGTGAACTTTAAAAAAACACCATCATATTATGTTATTTCTGAAAATCAGGAAAAAATAGTTTGGCGGATCCGTAATACAAGGAGTTGAAATTACTTGGTAAATTTGACTGAACTACATCATACAAGTGCATCTTCTTGCTGTCGAATTTTTGTTAATGTGAATAGGTCACCTGACACCCCAACCTGTATTTTGTAAAGTCATATTTATGCAGGCTGCTTATCTGGTAAATTTTATTAATGTTTCTTAACAAGAGACTAAAGAAAACATAATTAACAAATAACAAGAGTTGAGATCACGTGCATGCTATAAACAATGATAAAGGGGTGTTGGCAATAATTGGTCTTTAGCCAGGATACATCATCATACTTGTGCAATGAAAAAAGAAGTTTTTGGTTCAATAGAAATAACAGAAATGCTAATGGTATCATCAATTATGCCTTACATCTTGGTAGGAGGTAGCCCCACTTCTTTTTCCAGGTTTCGTTTTGTCCTTGGTCTTAGAGTTACCCATGTCTTCTCTCAATGCTTCAATTTCTTTTTCACTATCACTGTCAGAAGGATGGTAAAATTTATCTAAATCATCGCTATTGTCTTCAAAATCGATGTCTTCATCACTTTTCCGTGTTGACTCTTCCTCTTCTGTTTTCTGACGATCGACAGTTTCTGTCAATTCCTGTATGTCAGCGATTTCTTCTTCGTCAGCTTTCTGCGTCTCGTCAGTCGCCTCTTCCTCTTCTGTTTTCTGACGATCGACAGGTTCTGTCAATTCCTGTGTGTCAGCGAGTTCTTCTTCGTCAGCTTTCTGCGTCTCGTCAGTCGCCTCGTCTTCTGTTTTACCTTTCTGTTCTTTCTTCTGCTGTTCGGACTCGCTTCCTACTTGTGGCAATTCGTCGTCTGCTACTTCTACTCCCTCGTTCCCATTCGTTGTACCATCTACAACCATGGGCTCCGCGTTTGTGTTGACATTATCCGGAGACTCGGGCTTATCCTCAATCTCTTTAGTGTCGCCTGACTCCGACGACATACTCTAATAACTGGGCCGGGAGAAAAAATTTCGAGCACTTCCGTTTCCTACTTTCGTTTTTACCTGTGTATCCCAGAAAGAGGCATAAATACACCTATCAGGAACAACTTCACAAAGATGAAAACAGGTGCTTGTAAAATAAGTAAAGCTAGACTTCGCGGTTTGTTCTAAAACTGAAATATATTTTCCGAAACTGGTATCTATATGTTTGTTCATATATTTCTCTAGATCTAATGTATAAATGTTTCTTATTTGAAATGAAATATATATTTAGTTGTAATATCCCTCAGTCACTACAAATAGATTTACATACCAGCTGAGTTAAAAGATATATATGTCTCGTTTCGGATAACAATATCTCCTATTGATCAACCCAAACAAAGTGGTACTTTCGTTTTACATGGTATTGTGCAATACTATTGTTGACAAGAGAAACAGTCAAAACTTCTTTTTTTAACAAAATATAATTTTCGAACGTTATGACTTGTGGCTGTGCTCTCTCTAATACGAAACTGACTTCCAAGCCCTAGCTTTGTAAACATGGCGTTCTCCATGCGGCGAATTGCTCTTTGCCCTCTAAATGTTTCTTAGCAAATCAAGAGCTCGGAAAATGTATATTTTTGTACAATTCGCAATTAGTGAAAGCATAACATCAAAGTGATTTCTTTTAGATAGAAATCACACTGAAACCACAGCTCCCAACATGAGTTTCATCCGTGGTGGCGTCTTCATGAGAAGAGCATCGTCTGCTAAATATCGTCTACTCAGTTCGCTGGCAGCAAGTTTTCTTCCTCCGAGGTGATATCTGTGTGCAATGTCCCTCCTTACATTACTGTAAATTATGGATTATTAGTGATTAGTGACGGTTACCTATCCTACGCTGCGCGGATTGGTATATATTTCCTATCCTGGTCATATCCGCTCCTGTGATAATCAAATCTTCACTGCAGCTGTCAGTTAGGACAATATTCTGAATAGTGTCATTCTCTAAGGCTAGTCCAAAGTTTAACAAAATTATTTCCTTATAAACATGGCAAATTCTGCTTTAAGTGAGTTTAAAAAAAGTATTAAATCAATAGTTTTTGTTCATTTACATTTTACAATACAATTATTAAATTTCAGGGTGTCAGTCAAGCCTGACCATAACCAAAATAGATTGGATAATTTTATCATAGTGATCCATTTGTCAGGCCAAAATGGATCACTGTTTGTCAAAGTCGTCTGATCTGCTTTGGCGATGGTTCATTTTGCCTGCTGTCAAAATTTCAGTCCTTTTTTATTCCCCTGTTTATACAAAGGTTGTTACAGAGATCGGTATGTGGCCCCCTGGCTGTTAGACATGTAATGATATGGTGGAGTCGTAATACAATAAATATTCTGACACTTTTGGTGCGATATTATTTGTATCCCAATTCAGTACTTAAATTTCATAAGTTGATATTCTTTCTTCTTGCAGGTGAATTACAACCCTAAATCATTTGTTTTTAGATTTCAGATATCAAAGATGGGATGTTGTAGGGCACAAACATGTTGGCTAGAGGGTATTGGGAATGTGATGCAATATATAGATAACCGAGAAAAATACTAGAGAATCTGCGTTAACTGGTTGTTCAACAATTACTGTTATTATTATGTTTTTACACCGATGTGACGTGTATTGTAATGTATTGTATATATCGCGATACAGGAGTTGTAAATCAATGTATCGTGGTCCTTGTATCGCAAAACAATACTGTATTGCCATATCATTACACAACTAATGGCTGTAGGTAATTTCTTACTGAGCAGGCCGAGTAGGTTATCTGTACCTAATGATTTTTACCCAAATACCGTATTTGACGTAAAAAGCACCCAGGGCGCTCTTAAAATTAAAAATAGTGGGCTCTTATTAGAAAATTATTTTGGTGAAAAAAGTTATAAGATAAATTTCGTGGTTCATACTGACTGCCCCAAATGTTTATATACGAGACATACATTTTTCCAGAATTTAATTAGGAGATAAACATACTGTGTTTTCAGTGTAGAGCTAGGTTACCTGTAGATTTAACCCCGCTAAATTGAATTTGGAACCAAACGCGCAGCGTGAGGTTTCAAATGTTAAATTTAGCGGGGTTAAATCTACAGATAACCTAGCTCTACATTGAAAACACAGTATGTTTATCTCCATTCTACCATGACTAAATAAAATGCGAACTCTTTGGTGTTAGCAAACATACTGAGTGAAGCGGCATGGGATGAATCCAGTGTTTTGAGTGGGTTATCGATCTGAATTACGGAATCACCGAAACAAAATATGGTGCTGTATATACTCAAGCAGTTTGTTGACACCGTAATACTTCACTCGAACATATGACAGGCATTGAAAGCATATAAGCACGGCAACTTGGTAAGCTAACATGAGGTGGGCATCCCTAAAGAAAACAAGGCAAGCTTTGCAAGGCTTTCGCTCTACATCGCACGTCACCATTATGACGTCATATCGCTCATTGTGACGCAAAAGATATGACGTCACAGTCATATACAGAAAAGCGCCAAAATTCCAAGCTTTCTGTTGTCTCCAAAACGTAAATAGATTTGTAGATTTCTAACGTGTTTTCTGCATGAAATGTATTGCCACACTTGAATACTGTAGTAACCGCATCTGTGCATTTTGTAACCTGTAATTGTAGGTATAATTATCTAAATATGCCTACCGACAATGACTGAAAATAGTACTATTCTATGAATATTAGCTTCCGCGGTGATGCGGTCGTCAAACCAGCTGTTTCAATCAGAGGGGGTTTATTGTGATTTAATAGCCTCTGATTGATCAATCAGAATCAAGTAAAATCCAAATTCATGGTAGAATTGCCCATAATAAAGGGTGCATATAACACACGAGTGCGTATTAAACACGAATAAATAAGTGTTGTGTACATTTATCAATCGGAAGGGGTGCTTATTAGTATTGTTCACTAGCCAACATATTAGCAAATATCGCCGTGGGCGCTTATTAGAGCAGGCTGCTTATTGCGTCGAATACGGTACTCGGCTTGTTTTTGACCAGTAATTTGTACCCAAAGTCATTGCAGTAATAGGATTTTGTGACGGCATTAACATGACAAGTTATGTATCTTATTCATCTTTACCTATACAATTTAATGTACATTAAAGGGTAAAACATGGAGCAATTAATTATTTAGATATTTTAGTTAGTAAGTGGCTGGTATATTTCAGATTAAAGGTTTTATAATCAGCTGTTTTAATTGTTTACTAATAACTATTGAGAGGTTGGGTTATTGCACAAATTACAGAACTTGTTTTTATGGCATTGCTTTAATATTGCTGTAAAACCCACTAACTCATCATTTCGTCAGAAGGATATCTTCTGAAAGTTTGCAATGTGCATCAGCCAGGGCTGGGAATCTAAAATGTATTTCCATGGATTTTAAAACAAGGGGATATTTTGAATCAGATTTTGGAACAAATTTGTTGTTTACATTATTGGTTGTTTTTGCTGAATGTACCTTTTCAAGCAGAGAAATTCCTGCTGTGTGTGTATATAAATATAGTGAATGTAGGATGTGACATTCTAAATTTAATTATAGTTTTGTACAGGTACTTATGTTTTTCGGGTTTCACCAAAGTGGTAGACGCCTTAGACCTGCATCACTTCGAGTTTTTCTCCTACAAACTATGATATACCGTATTCGATGTAATAAGCGCCACGCTCTAATAAGCACCTATGGCGATATTTACTAATATATTGGCTATTGAACAATCCCAATTAGCACCCCTTCTGATTGATAAATGTACACAAGACTTATTTATTCGTGTATAATATGTTTGTTATATGCACCCTTAATTATGGGCAATTAGATTCCGGAAAAATATATCTGTCGTATATATACATTTCAGGCTGTCAGCATAAACCACAAAATTGCGATCTTTCAACTCTGTTCTAATTCTAGTCTTTAATTATATAAATTATATTCTAATAAGAGCCCCACATTTATAATTTTGAGAGTGCACTGGGTGCTGATTATGTCGAATATGGTAATTGGAATACTGTTAAAAGTGGCATAATACCAAACTCACTCACTCACTTATGTTTTTACAGGGCACTTTGCAGCAAGGAAGCTCTAAGGGCCTGTGTCAAATGTGCTGCAAGGATTTCAACCAAATCTCACCATGTATCACAAATCACAAGCAATGAAAGCTGGGCTGTTCACCTGAGAAATCTCTCTCTGCGTTCAACACATAAAACAATAACATTATGTGGAAGACTGAGTATACCTTGTATAGGTGTGATAGGAACTAGTTTAGCATGGTACCACCATCGGGGAAATAATGCCCACTGTAAACAGCAGCACCACAGAACCAGACTGGTGGGAACCAACAAAGATGAATCGGTGCCAGATCCGAGTTTTGATCACAAAGGTCTCTGGAAGCTCTTGCTTCCTGAGATATGGTACCTAATGGCAGCAGTGGCAGTAAGTGGACGTACCATTGTTCATGCATGAGAAAATCAGTGTCATTGTCATAATAGTTAGATAATCTCTGTTGGGAGACCCCAGGGCTAGAAATGGCCACTAGTCAGTTACTCTGAGACTTGTGACAATCCAGAGGTGCTAGTTGTTTCTACCACAATCGAGAGATATTGCTAAAACCACTGGTCAGAAATGAGTTCTGGACTACCGGTAGTTGACTATGACCAATGGTGTCTACGCTTGGGGAGTTGAGATTTTTTTTTATTGAATTCTCTTCTGGGATGGCTGTTTTGACATTCTCTATTATCGTTTTTTTAACTTATATTTCCATGGCTGTTTTGACATTCTCTATTATTGTTTTTTTACTTATATTTCCATGGCTGTTTTGACATTCTCTATTATCGTTTTTTTTACTTATATTTCCATGGCTGGTTTGACATTCTCTATTATCGTTTTTTTTACTTATATTTCCATGGCTTGTTTGATTTGCTCCCTGATCATGCTTATGAAGCAAATGATTTGTTTATAATATCCATAATAAAATATTTGTTTTGTCCTAATTGATTTATGAATAATAAATTAAAACATCAACATCCTACTACAGCATCATGTGTATGCCTTCCAAGTACACTCTATGGATTAAAAGTGGTCATCATTTACTTTGTGTGTGACATTCAACATTTTATGCAATTATGGAGTTAACTGATATTTTATCAGCATTTTTTATTCTTTCTTATAATCATTGATGTTTGTTTGGTATATCTAAACATGCTGACAGAAGCTGTCTATCAAGCTCATCTCAAACTATCTATGATTAGAAGTCTCGATTGCTGTCGACCGCCTCCGTGGTCTAGTGGTAGAGTGTCCGCCCGGAGAGAGAAGGTCTGTGGTTCGATCCCCAGCCAGGTCATACCAAAAGATGTTTAAAGATGGTACTTGTTGTTACCCTGTCTAGCACTAGGCATTAAGGAGCTTAAACAAGGACTGGTTGGTCGGAGTCAGTATACTGTGTCTGGGTGGGGTATGAATGTTAAACTGTGGGATGGTATCTCAGTGGGCTAGCGCTTTAAATCAGTCCGGACTAGTCCAAGCAGCCACACACACATGTGCATGCAGGTTGCTATCAATCTCATTAAAATCAGATCTTTGTTCTCACTATCGCTAAACAAAGATCTGAGGACATCCCATTACGGGTCACGTCAGAACGACCTTTCATCCAACCTATCAGAGCGTCGCTTACCAGATCATGAAAGTGACAGTCGGAATGTGTTTTCTAATCATGCAACCACGAAATATTTAACAGATGGTAATCCGAGCAAGGGTTACAGGTTTTATTATTATATCCATGCAATCTAATAATAAAACCTGTGTTTTCTAATCATGCAACCACAAAAAATTTAACAGATGGTATACGAATGACAGTTACAGGTTTTATTATTATATCCATACAATCTATCCTCATGTAACAGGGAAAAGGTGAAATAAAATGTTTAAAACAAAAAAAAACAATCTAGGCCATGTATAAGCCATTCCATAATGTTCATATCAGTTTTAAAATTTATAATTGAGAATATTTCAAAGTATGTTTCGAAGCGTAGTCGCCAGTTTGAAATTAGTGTTGAGCTTGAGAAAACTGCCTTCTGATTTGCTAATGTCAATTTCTTGTCAGTCATTTCATTGGTCGGTCAAAATTAACGAAAGGTCCTTCTGACGTGACCGGTATGGGATGTCCTCAGATCTTTGTTTAGCGGTAGCGAAAACTAAGATCTGATTTTAATGAGATTGACGTTGCTATATAAGTGCAATAATCTTGGACGCGACATTAAACCCCATTTTCACCTCACCTCACCTTCACCATAATTGCTGTCTGTATTTATTGTTTCCTTTCTTCAGAAAACATCTGAAGAATGAATCCATTACAGGAATTTCTTTCTCTTCATAATTATGCTTATTTTCCCAGAGTGCCCTTGCAGTAGCAGTCGTAAACATCAACATTCCGTTAATGCTGGGCGACCTTGTGAACGTGGTGTCAAAGTTCACGACAGACACAGCGGCCAGCTTCTTTGATGACATCAAAAAGCCTGCTATGAAGCTATTGGGAATCTATTGCTTGCAGGTGATGCTATCTCATCATAGGCATGTAACTGTATGAAATTGTATTGGTTAAAGGCAATGCACTTTGTTAAGTACATTTCGCATTATTATACTCTTGATGAATTTGCCGCCTCCGTGGTCTTGTGGTAGAGCGTCCACCCGGAGAGCGGAGGGTCCGGGGTTCGATCCCCGGCCGCATCATACCAAAAGACGTTAAAAGATGGTACTTGTTGTTACCCTGTCTGGCGCTCGACATTAAGGGGCTAAAACAAGGACTGGTCTGCTCGGAGTCAGTATACTGTGTCTGAGTGGGGTATTCATGTTAAACTGCGGCATGGTATCTCAGTGAGCTAGCACTATAAATCGGCATCAGTCCGGACTAGTACAAGAAGCCACAGACACACACGTGCATGCACGTTGCTATATAAGTGCAATAATCTTGGATGCGACGTTAAACCCAATTTCACCTCATCTCACCTCACTTGATGAATTGTTTCAACAAATCAGTAAATACAAACATAGCCATGACTGTTGTTATTTTTGCCTGGATTCTGGGTATGGATATAGCATGCCAGCAACCTATTGCAACAAGGGGTGGTGGGGTAGCCTATCGGTTAAAGCATTAGATCTTCACGCCTAAGGCCAGGGTTCGATTCCCCACATGGGTACAATGTGAAACCCATTTCTGGTTTCCCCTAACGTGATATTGCTGCAGTATTGCTAAAAGCGGCATAAAATCCAACTCACTCACTCACGTAAGAGGCAACTAAATGGATCGGGTGGTCTGTCTCTATAACTTGTCGTCATATCCAATTGTGTGAATTCATGCTCATGTCAATCACTGTATTGTCTGGTCCAGACTCGCTTATTTACAGACCTCCATCAAATAGCTGGAATATTGAATACACAATGCCAATGCTGGAATATTGCTGTGTGTGGGGTCAAACAACAAATGATAAAATGATATTTAGAATAAGAACTTTTATGAAGCCCCAGTTCAAACAAAACAATTTTGTCGGCCTGCCATGGACTCATAGTTTGGAATACAAATGTACTTGATAAGTCCCAGCGTAGCATTCCCTGTTTAATTGTCCGGATTAATGAATGTCTGGATAACTGAATCACAGGTACAGAGTAATGTCCCTTTGTACATTTGTCATCATTACCAGTAGTTGGTTTTGGTTGGTTTGTTGTTTAACGCCGCACTCAGCAATATTCCAGCTATATGACATAATCAAGTCTGGACCAGACAATCCACTTATTAATATCATGATCATCAATCCACGCAGTTGGGATCGATGACATGCATCAACCAAGTCAGTGAGCCGTTAGTCGGCTCTTACGACATGCATTGTCGCCTTTTACAGTATGGGTTGCTAAAGACCTATTCTACCCGGATCTTCACGGTTCCAGTAGTGAGCATCTGGAAGGGCTCATGGTAATGAGGTTTTACCAGCGTTAGAAATGGCACTAGTCCTATAGTCCTTGCCAAATTTAAGGACTAGTAGAAATTTGCCCTTTATAACGGTTTTGCTATATGTTATCATTATAAGGACTAGTTGACTAAAACTTTTAGTTTCTGTCGCTGTTTCACTGTATATATTTTCTGTGCAGGGTTTGTTGACGTTCGGGTATATCTCGCTTTTGTCCACTGTGGGGGAGAATGTGGCCGCCAGGATGAAGATACAGTTGTTTGAATCTCTGCTCAGTCAAGACATAGAGTTTTACGACAGGCACAAGACCGGGGAGCTGATCAACAGGTAACATGCATCATGTACATTAACATGGTAAACTTTCTGTCTTCATCTTGTACATACATCTGTAAAGAGTCGAGGTGTTTTCCTTCTTAGTAGAAGTGGGCTGTGATACCAAAAGATCATCACATCATAAAATTTACATTTTATTCTATAGTAAGTAGTATTATTGTGTAAACCAATCTGTTAAACTTACTAACCAATATATAAACAAATAAGGTCACATACTAGGAACTACTTTCAAGCTCCATACATTGTTGCAATATCTCAAGCTACTTCATTGAGTGAAATTATATCTTAAACTTCTGTTATTGTCAGATAAAGATATTACTTCCCACTTTTATTTCGGTATCGTAACTATCGTACATTACGAATACAGTTTATATTCTTGATATATGATATTTACGTTACAGAAACACTAATAATCTCCATTTAGGAATACAATTTAAATGTTTGATTTTGAGTTAACACATCACTGTGCTGAGTTATGTCCCTTAGTCATGTAAGGATCTGCTGACCATGGGTGTTTCCATATTCAACATGATTATGATCCTTGGTTTGTCAGCACTGGCTTCACCAGACTGGTAAATTTCTGTGATATGCGTCGAATGACTTTCCTCTCACATTAGATGACACTCTGTAATGTAACTGGAACACTATCTATCTCACACACACTCGCACAAGTTTGACTGGTCCAAATGATTTGTTTTTTTTCAGACTCACCACTGATATTCAAGATTTCAAAAGTTCATTCAAGTTGTGTATTTCTCAAGGTCTTCGCGCTACCACACAGGTTTGACATACCTTCTGTAGTAGCATATATAGGCAAACTTTGTTTAATTTTAACTTATTGACTGTAGTGCCATCTATCTCGTGATTATAATACTGTTGTGAATTGACTTACATTACCCATAGACCTGTGAATATCCGGGATAGAATAGGTCTTCAGCAACATACGCTTGCTGTAAAAGGCGACTATGCCTGTTGTAAGAGGCGACTAATGGGATCGGGTGGTCAGGCTCACTGACTTGGTTGATGCATGTCATCATATCCCAATTGCATAGGTTGATGCTCATGATGTCAAAAACTGGATTGTCTGGTCCAGACTCAAATATATACAGACCACCGTCATATAGCAGGAATATTGCAGAGTGCGGCATTAAATAACAAACAATCAAACAAACAAACATTACCCATCAGAGTAAAATGATCATGTGTAATAACGTTCTGATATTTGCACATGTGCATTATGGCATTTGGTTTTGCTCTTTTCTCTCCCCACAAGGGTGGCCCAGTGGTCCAAGGTGTTGCATTAATTGTGCAGAGATCACTTAGAACACCAAGGATTTGCTGGTTGTAGGTTCGAACCCAGATGGACCTGTTTGTAGTCATTGGTTTGTCAGCACCATGCTCATGCTTGCAGATATCATTAAAGTGGTAGACCCATGGAAATCCGGGTTAGAGTTGGTTTTCAGCAACCCTTGCTTGTTTTAAGAGGCAACTAAGCTTGTCGTATTGGGCGAATAAGCTTGTCGTATTGGGCAACTAAGGGAATCAGGTGGTCAGGTTCACTGACTTGGTTGGTGCAGCGTTAAACAACAAACAAACCAACATTTGGACTTGTGGTTTGTGTAACATAAATAATTTGGGGAGAAACCACAAGTCCTCAATGTTCACTGGTTTTGGACTAGCAGACATGGGTCTGTGTGTAGCCCTGGTTAAACAAGAAACAAACTATATGTCATCAGACATGGAGGTATCATGGTCGTGTTCCATGTTTTCAGACTGTTGGCTGTGTTGCAAGTCTACTCATGATCTCACCAAAGCTAACCGGCATCATGCTGATTGTCGTCCCAGCAATCATCTCCGCAGGAACAGCACTTGGGTCCAATCTTCGTACATTGTCAAGGAAAGCTCAGGAACAGGTCATTTTTTATCTGATCCTTTAATTATTAAAGTTGATTTTCTGTGTCTTGAATTATCTGAAAATGATTCATATTTGTTCCTGATGCTTTGCACAGGCAGGCATTATATTGTCTCATGAAGACTCTTGTAAATTTGACTGGTCCGGGCTAAGGGTCATTGAGAGTTAACATGGTTAACTGATAGTATTAGTGATGATTGTAAGTAGCTTTTCTGACCAAACTGGTGGATACCATTGTACTGATCCAACTCGTCCATAAGGGCTGTTATTATTTACTCGCGTATCAGGTGAATCAAACTGTATCTCTGCATGAACTGAATTCGTTAATCGTGGCCACTAGAATCGATTATGTAAAAAGATTTTGTAAAGAGTGTTTTTTCCACTTGAACTCAAGCATAACTTGTGTCAGTTTTCCAAGGACCCTCATGGCACTGTCAACCAGCAGGCAATAAGCAGCATTGTCCCAATGTATTGCTTGTTTGTTTAACAAAAAATAGGAGGCACGGGTGGCCCAGTCGTCTTAGGTGCCGCGATTCGCCATGCAGAGTTGCATCCCTTGGGCACGCCAGAAACCTATGACTGTGGGTTTGAACCCCTGCTCACCCCAATTACGTTTCTGGGTTTGTCAGCACCATACCCGTGCTCGTGGGTTTCACCGAAGTGGTAAACGTCTTAGACCTGCATCACTTCGGGCTTTCCTCCCACATTAAGCTGACACGCCGTGATATAACTGGAATACTGTTAAAAGCAGCATTAAACCCAACTCACTCACTCACTCACAAAAACTATCACTGAAATGTTTCAACCAAAGTAATTACATAACATACATTTACGTACATTGTTAAAAAACGGACACTGTTTTACACTGACACATTGTTTTTCCCCCAACGCAAACACAATACCAGCTGAGTACCGTGAAGTAACTTGTTATTGTATTTGTGAATAAATGTTCGTATTCGTTACCCTATATTCGTGATACGTATCAAAATGTATTTGTCACGGCCCTATCCATAGCTCATTTTGAACAAGTTGTTTATGTAAATAGTGAGACAGGGAAAAATAGTCTTGGACTAATGAACTTTGGTCCATGTCTAGCCCTGCAAGTGCAATCAAATTTAAATAGTGTTCCTTTCACAAAATTTAAGTGCTCAAAAGTGACTGGTGGGATTATGTGGTCAGGCTCGCTGACTTGGTTGATGCATGTCATCATATCCCGATTGCGTAGATCGATGCTTATATCAATCACTGGATTGTCTGGTCCAGATTTGATTGTTTACAGACCGCTGTCATAAGCTTGAATATTGCTGGGTGTGGCGTTAAACAACAAACAAACACATTAATCTCTGATTCACTGATTCACATGAGTACTGTATGTATTATACAGTGTAAATGTTCTTGCTGTTTGTATTGTCTCAAGTAAAACTGTATTTGTACTTGTAATTCAACAGAGCAATATTTACAGGTATCTCAAGCTACAGCTGTTGCGGACGAGGCCATAGGGAATGTTCGGACTGTCAGAGCCTTTGCCATGGAATCAAAGGAAAACGAGTAAGCACTTATTTAGATGGTGATTGTTGTCAATGTGATGGGGGTTAGATAGCAGTCCATGACTTCAGTCACTTGTCCGAGGACCGAGTCTAGTAAATTTCTGTTTGGTCTAGTAAGCTAAGCCTTTAATAGTCCATATGATAAGACTAAAATCTGCTAAGTGATGCTTAGAGCCATGTTTGGGCTAGTAGACATAGTTTTGGACACTGGATAAGGTAGGCGGGTATAGAAATTAGTTGGTACCAGTGGGTTGGTACCAAAATGGTAAATTCGTTGCATTTGGTTGGTTGCTTTTGTTGTTTAACGCCGCACTCAGCAATATTCCAGCTATATGACGGCGGTCTGTAAATAATCGAGTCTGGACCAGACAATCCAGTGATTAATATCATGAGCATCTATCCACGCAATTGGGATCGATGACATGCATCAACCAAGTCAGTGAGCCTGACCACCCGATCCCGTTAGTCGCCTTTTACGACAAGTAGAGTCACCTTTTACGGCAAGCATGGGTCCAAAATGGTAAATGTGTGACCTTGAGTAGGTTACCCTGCTCCTCTAGGTGTTGTGTTGTAACATCTTTGAGGCTGAAAATAGTAAGTTAAATAATTGAGTACCGTATTTTCTCGAGTATCGTGTGCACCAAAGTATAATGCGCATCCCCCTCTATGGGATTCAGTATTTTGGAAGAATTTCTTTTTGGAGTTCTATGCACCAAAATAAATAACACCGACCCCTTCAGTGAATTCAGGGGGCACGGGTGGCCCAGTTGTCTAAGGCGCCGTGATTCGCTGTGCAGAGTTGCGTCCCTTGGGCACGCCAGAAACCCATGATTGTGGGTTCGAATCCCTGTTCACCCCGATTATGTTTCTAGGTTTGTCAGCACCATACCCGTGCTCGTTGGTTTCACCGAAGTGGTAAACTTCTTAGACCTGAATCACTTCGGGCTTTCCTCCCACATTAAGCTGACATGCCGTGATATAACTGGATTACTGTTAAAAGCGGCGTTAAACCCAACTCACTCACTCACTCAGTGAATTCAGGTAAACAAACAGGTGATAAGAAACTTTTTCTTCAAATCTACTGGTGATTTGGGTTAAAACTTACCCAATGATATTGAATGAAATTTTAAATAAAATTAATGAAATAGGTTACAAACACAAGTCCACATATACAATGAACACTTTTTATGACCAGACAGTGTAACTACATGATTTCATTGCGTACTATTTGTTGACATGGTATTTATAGTGTTACGTGCTCACAGAAATGTCTTTGCGTGGCCCGGGTCGTCACCAATATGGTAAATGTGTGACCATGACGTAGTGTAAATATCGTCTTAAAAACAGATCTCGCGAGATCCGAGTTGTACGCAATTCACCGCCGCGTGGATGCCAAGTTTTATGCAACTTCTGTTTGTACTACTAATTGCATACAACAAGCTGTACCAACTAGTTGTACCGTGTGAATACCTCTTTATCTATTCCTGATGGTTCTGACATGTGATGTTTTGTCCAGGCTGTACAGCCAGCAGGTGGAGAAGGCGTGTCACCTCAACACACAGCTGGGCATCGGTATCGGCATGTTCCAGGGTCTGGCTAATGCTGCTCTCAATGGTAGGAGGACACACACATCGGATTATCATAAACACACTAAAGACATTCTGATACACTCATTAAGTACATATACATATGTTTGTAATTAGTTTTCCTAAAAATGAAAGTTGTTTTCTTTAAACATGTTTATTTTGATGATCCACAAACGTTTCAAAATGATGCCTATACTTATATTGCAGTATTTACCATTTGACCTTTGACATACCATATCTAAACAACTATGAGGCATTACCCAGCTCAGCATCTTGGCTATGTTTTCTGTATGCATGGTATAGAAGTACCGTAATGTGCCTCTTTTAATGTCACTACATATCACAATTTATTATGCCTTGAGGTGAGATTGACCAATCAGAGAGCAGAACTATTAACCCCATATGAGCCCATATACCATCAGTAAAAGTAAAAAATGGTTGTTGCTGACCAAATATGAGACCATATACCATCAGTAAAAGTAAAAACTGGTTGTTGCTGACCAAATATGAGACCATATACCATCAGTAAAAGTAAAAAATGGTTGTTGCTGACCAAATATGAGACCATATACCATCAGTAACAGCCATCTTGAATTTTCCAGCACCAACCTCACATGTTTCACATGAAAATTCTGGTACAGAAATTCTTTATTCGACACTGTTTTGTGTTTACATATCATTAAATGTGATGTGCTAAGACATTTTTTATTAAAGAAACCACGTTTGTGACTTTATTTATAAAAATTATAGAGAAAGAAAGCTCACATTGGAGGTCACTAATTTAGGACATAATATAGGATGACGTCACAAACGCTAATGACGTCACATAGCCAAAGAATAGATAGCAGCCCATTGTTGCAAGGACAAGGACAGCTATCAAGCTATAATACTTGTTTAAATGTTCACATTTAGTGCATTATATATTCCATTGTTAATGTTTGTGTTTACATTAAAGTGTTGTGTCGGAAACATATGTACCTGTCCTGTCATATATACAGGTTGTAAGTGAATGTTTTCATTTTGATATGACATGTGAGATAAAGATACTAAATAGTGTAAGAATAAGATTGTGTAAACTTTCGGTATAATAAATTTGTTATGCTGTCTTGAGTTGCCATATACAGTGTCATATAAGGTTAGCTTAATATTTGGAAGACTGTAGTTAGACTGACATCTCTCTCTACAGGTGTTGTCCTAGGGACCATGTTTGCTGGTGTATATTTGGAGGACTGTAGTTAGACTGACATCTCTCTCTCTCCAGGCGTTGTCCTAGGGACCATGTGTGCTGGTGTATATTTGGAGGACTGTAGTTAGACTGACATCTCTCTCTACAGGTGTTGTCCTAGGGACCATGTTTGCTGGTGTATATTTGGAGGACTGTAGTTAGACTGACATCTCTCTCTCTCCAGGCGTTGTCCTAGGGACCATGTTTGCTGGTGTATATTTGGAAGACTGTAGTTAGACTGACATCTCTCTCTACAGGTGTTGTTCTAGGGACCATGTTTGCTGGTGTATATTTGGAGGACTGTAGTTAGACTGACATCTCTCTCTACAGGTGTTGTTCTAGGGACCATGTTTGCTGGTGTATATTTGGAGGACTGTAGTTAGACTGACATCTCTCTCTCCAGGTGTTGTTCTAGGGACCATGTTTGCTGGTGTATATTTGGTAGACTGTAGTTAGACTGACATCTCTCTCTCCAGGTGTTGTTCTAGGGACCATGTTTGCTGGTGTATATTTGGTAGACTGTAGTTAGACTGACATCTCTCTCTACAGGTGTTGTCCTCGGGACCATGTGTGCTGGTGTATATTTGGAGGACTGTAGTTAGACTGACATCTCTCTCTACAGGTGTTGTCCTCGGGACCATGTTTGCTGGTGTATATTTGGTAGACTGTAGTTAGACTGACATCTCTCTCTACAGGTGTTGTCCTCGGGACCATGTGTGCTGGTGTATATTTGGAGGACTGTAGTTAGACTGACATCTCTCTCTACAGGTGTTGTCCTTGGGACCATGTTTGCTGGTGTATATTTGGTAGACTGTAGTTAGACTGACATCTCTCTCTCCAGGTGTTGTCCTAGGGACCATGTTTGCTGGTGTATATTTGGAGGACTGTAGTTAGACTGACATCTCTCTCTACAGGTGTTGTCCTCGGGACCATGTTTGCTGGTGTATATTTGGTAGACTGTAGTTAGACTGACATCTCTCTCTCCAGGTGTTGTCCTAGGGACCATGTTTGCTGGTGTATATTTGGAGGACTGTAGTTAGACTGACATCTCTCTCTACAGGTGTTGTCCTAGGGACCATGTTTGCTGGTATATATTTGGTAGACTGTAGTTAGACTGACATCTCTCTCTCCAGGTGTTGTCCTAGGGACCATGTTTGCTGGTGTATATTTGGAGGACTGTAGTTAGACTGACATCTTTCTCTCTACAGGTGTTGTCCTCGGGACCATGTTTGCTGGTGTATATTTGGTAGACTGTAGTTAGACTGACATCTCTCTCTACAGGCGTTGTCCTAGGGACCATGTTTGCTGGTGTATATTTGGAGGACTGTAGTTAGACTGACATCTCTCTCTACAGGTGTTGTCCTAGGGACCATGTTTGCTGGTGTATATTTGGTAGATCTGTAGTATGACTGACATCTCTCTCTACAGGTGTTGTTCTAGGGACCATGTTTGCTGGTGTATATTTGGTAGACTGTAGTTAGACTGACATCTCTCTCTACAGGCGTTGTCCTAGGGACCATGTTTGCTGGTGTATGTTTGGAAGACTGTAGTTAGACTGACATCTCTCTCTACAGGCGTTGTCCTCGGGACCATGTTTGCTGGTGTATATTTGGTAGACTGTAGTTAGACTGACATCTCTCTCTACAGGCGTTGTCCTAGGGACCATGTTTGCTGGTGTATGTTTGGAAGACTGTAGTTAGACTGACATCTCTCTCTACAGGCGTTGTCCTCGGGACCATGTTTGCTGGTGTATATTTGGTAGACTGTAGTTAGACTGACATCTCTCTCTACAGGCGTTGTCCTCGGGACCATGTTTGCTGGTGTATATTTGGTAGACTGTAGTTAGACTGACATCTCTCTCTACAGGCGTTGTCCTCGGGACCATGTGTGCTGGTGTATATTTGGTAGACTGTAGTTAGACTGACATCTCTCTCTACAGGCGTTGTCCTAGGGACCATGTTTGCTTGTGTATATTTGGTAGACTGTAGTTAGACTGACATCTCTCTCTACAGGCGTTGTCCTAGGGACCATGTGTGCTGGTGTATATTTGGTAGACTGTAGTTAGACTGACATCTCTCTCTCTACAGGTGTTGTCCTCGGGACCATGTGTGCTGGTGTATATTTGGTAGACTGTAGTTAGACTGACATCTCTCTCTCTACAGGTGTTGTTCTAGGGACCATGTGTGCTGGTGTATATTTGGTAGACTGTAGTTAGACTGACATCTCTCTCTCTACAGGTGTTGTCCTCGGGACCATGTGTGCTGGTGTATATTTGGTAGACTGTAGTTAGACTGACATCTCTCTCTCTACAGGTGTTGTTCTAGGGACCATGTGTGCTGGTGTATATTTGGTAGACTGTAGTTAGACTGACATCTCTCTCTCTACAGGTGTTGTTCTAGGGACCATGTGTGCTGGTGTATATTTGGTAGACTGTAGTTAGACTGACATCTTTCTCTCCAGGTGTTGTCCTAGGGACCATGTTTGCCGGTGGCTGGATGATGTCTGTGCATGAGCTGAATGCTGGAGATCTCATGTCCTTCCTGGTGGCCACCCAGACCATTGAGAGGTCAGTGTAGGACAACTGGATGTTTCATGATCGGCAATTACAGTATTAAACGTGTATTTCAATACAAATTGTTATTTTAGGCCACTTGGAACAGTATCTCTGTTATATCATGGCTTGTCAATACAATCGGAGGAAATGCCAAGGTTATACTTATCAGAGACGTTTACTACTTTGATTAAGCCTTTGGGTGGTGCATTATGCATCTTCCTGAGGCAAAGGAGTTATTTGACCGTAAAAGTCCAGTTTCTACCCTTGCCAAACATGGCTGGAATTTGAAGCCTTGATTGTAGCACCATCAGTGGTTATTACGAGTTATGTCCCTCCTATGTCCCTCCTATTGACCAATCAGATTCCATCTCTCATATCACTAGCATTTGCTTCAAACAAAATGGCAGCCCAGTGAAAACGATCTGTTTGATAATCCAGATCTATATTGTGATGAAACGGGTCTTAAACCGCGAAGTGCATCCAATCATTTGAGCACCTTGATTAAAAACCTGAAAAGATTTGGAAAATATCTGTTGACAGCTTGCTTAAGGTATGCATGCCTTGTAAGTACTGCAATCAACCGAAATCTGCATGGCAGTTTAGGAACCGGATGTCGATTTCATTACGCGATTTTGATTAGACTATGCATAGACTCATTAGTCCAGCCAAAATAGAACTCCAGAATTCCAGCCTAGTTCGGCAACAATGATCAGTTTTCCATTGAATGATGATAGTTCCATCCAGAGGAAATATAGCTTAAATGTATTGTGGAAAAGCTTTCCTCGAAATAAGTGTTCCGTTGGAATTATTCCCCAAGAAAAATGTACAAAGGAACAATTTCACTACAGGAACAGATACCCTTTGACACTAACACAACAAGTCCAGGCAGGAAGCAAACGCACTGTAAGTCCCCATGGTCCCTGGTATGGTGATCTCCCTTTAGTTACTGACGATCTCAAGCCAATTTTTATATTGTGATGTCAACTCATTCTTTCTTCTTTTAAATGTGCCTCGACTAGTTTTAAATCTAATCTGTGATATGCTAGTTATTGTACCGTCCTTCGATGACAGGTTTTTATAAAGTTAAAAATATATGCATTATTCATATCCAATTTCTCATCACGATGTGGCTGAAATATTGCCGATGTGACGTTAAATATTAACACCCTCACTCACTCACTAACACAAGGATCATTAGCTGGTCTGATCCGGGATTTGGGGCCAGGAAACAGCAGATCCAGCATGGCTGTGGGACTCACACTGTAGAGCCAACTGCTGCTCAAGATCACTAGCCACCAATGTGAGACAAAATAGCATAATGCAAGTCTCTGTATTAAGGGAATGTCTTTTCAGGTCCCTGGCACAAATGTCTCTCCTGTTTGGTCAGATTGTGAAGGGAGTGAGCGCAGGAGCCAGGGTCTTCGAGGTAGGAATATTGTGTCTGTCACCAACTTAAAGTTGTGCTTTCTTATGTAGATTTATTAACTGAATCCTGAATGTCAATGTATTTCAGTCGTTCAAAAGATTGTAATATCTGTGTACTGTCTTTCAACTTTTTTTTTACCAAGACGTGTGGCCTACTTCGAAGAATTTGTTTACTTGTGAATCTTACTCCCATGATTTTTCCTGGTCAGAAGAAAGCCCCAGGAGCCAACTCTTGTCAAACGAGCAATAATGGTTGAGTTGTCACAATATATGGCCTTGTTGATAGCTGTCATCATACACCAGAAGACAAGGGCTGATTGGCTCGGTGTTAGTATACTGTGCCTTGTTGATAGCTGTCATCATACACCAGAAGACAAGGGCTGATTAGCTCGGTGTTAGTATACTGTGTCTGAGGGGGGTTTCCATGTTGAATTGTGGCATTATATATCAGTGGGCTAGCACTTTCAGCGTTAGAACTTGGCACTAGTCCTGCCCAATAGTAAAGGTATCCTAAGGACTAGTAGAAATTGGCCCATTTTATGGGTTTTGCTATAAGTTATCATTATGAGGCCTAGTGGACAAAACTGTTAGTTTCTAACCCTGACTTTAAAACCAGCTTTTGTCTAGACTAGTAGAAGCAGCCACACACTTGTACATGCAGTTGCTGTATAAGTGCAATAAATGTGATGTGACGTGACGTTAAATCGTGAACCTTCTGTAGTGTAAGGTAAATACATGAAAGCATGTCAGTGTGATCTCAAATGTTTCAGTTCATTAATCATGAAGCGAAGATCCCCCTTCACGGTGGCAAGAGAATTCCTTTCCATGCTCTGATGGGCAACTTGGAGTTTCACAATGTCGGCTTCTCGTACCCAACCCGAGCCGAACAGGAAGTGCTTCATAACTTCAATCTCAAGATACAGGGGGGATCTGTTGTGGCCCTAGTTGGATTGTCAGGGGGAGGTAAGTAGCGGTAATGTCTGTATATTTGTAATTGTGTTAACGACATGATCTATCATTTGTAACATTTGTTACATTTGACCACTTTCTAAATGGCATTGTTTGTTCATAGCTTTCGGCCATGGTAGGCCGTGCCAATTTACAATTTTCAGAGGTGTACACAAAGTATATGATATAGACTACCAGTTGTCGGACTTTCATTTTTGTGGAAGCCTCAGTGGCTGAGTGGGTTAGATTGCTGACTGTGTGTGATGGCGATTAGGTGCCTCACTCTGGCAAGTGTGGTTTGAATCCCAGATGGGACCTAAACAAGTACGAGAATCTGTACTTTACTAAGAAAGTGTTATCCGAAATATAACATTTGTTACATTAGACCGCTTTCTAAATGGCATTGTGTGTCATGATCTATCTCATTTATATAAGCATTTATCATCCCAAACTGGATTCCTAGGACATATATGTAATTGCATCACAGTGCTTTGCTGATGAAGCAGGTTATCTGTACTTTCTACACTCAAGAAAAGTTGAAAGAATGATTTTGGATGATAAATAGCATCTCACTCTCATGTCTTTTAATATCAACACATGTTGATTAAAGTTTACAAGTCCTAAGCAAACATCTGAGTTTTAAACTTATATCATCTCATGTTGTTCTGTTTGATATCAGGAGACACTTTGGTGAGATTCTCTGTCTCATGACTTTCATAACCATTGCTTGAAGTTTAGTTCATATCTTAAATTATGCAGATGCTGTGGGCCAAAAGGGGCCCTTATCATACTCTGTCCTAAGACACTATTGACCATATCAACCCATCTTCCAGGAAAATCTACAGTGGCTGCCCTGTTGGAGAGATTCTACGACGTGACCAAAGGGGAGATAACTCTAGATGGAATCAACATACAAGATCTTGATCCAACATGGCTGAGAGGAAGAGCATTGGGCTATATTAACCAGGTGACTGTTGGGTACGGGTTAGGCGTATATGAGAACTATTCATAAGATCACTGTTAATTACTTTTTTGTTTATTGAAATCATTGCTTCATTCTAAGATGTATATTGATCTATATACGTCTTTGCTTCATTCAAAACTTTGTAGATGAAAATACAGTAAACTACGTTTATAACGAACACACTTATAATGAACTGACGGATATAACGAACTGTTCTTTTGGTCCTGGTCATTTGCCATATATTTTATCAAATGTTTGTTTGTTTGTTGTTTAATGCCTCACTCAGCAATATCCCAGCTATATGATGGCGGTCTGTAAAATAATCATGTCTGGACCAGACAATCCAGTGATTGATATCATGAGCATCGATCCACCCAATTGGGATCAATGACGTGTATCAACCAAGTCAGCGAGCCTGACCACCTGATCCCGTTAGTCGCCTTTTACGACAAGCATAGTCGCCTTGTACGGCAAGTATGGGTTTCTGAAAACCTATTCTACTCCGGAATCTTCTCAGGGTTTTTATCATATGAAGTTGATGGATATAACGAACACGCTCATAAGAACATAACGAATATAGCGAACTCACCTTGTGGCCCGGTGTGTCAACGATAATGTTTAAGTGTATAACAAACTGTTTATCCCTGAGCTGAGCTCCTCACGTGTCACCAATCTGCCATCAAAACATCCACGGCCAAACGCTGCTGTTCAAAGCATCAATAAACAATTGAAGGCAATTGATTTACTCTTTAAGTTCTGACACATTGTCCTCAAATTACATCCTCAATTAACATAGTAACACAGTGGTTGAAGTGGATATATTCTGTACATGTACACTGCACACTTTTGTTATTTATGGAGTAACATGAAGTCACATGGCTTGATAAAAGATGTCTGACAGTCAAAATGGTATAACGAACGACGGACAGAACAAACTAAAATGAGTGGTCCCTTTGAGTTTGTTATGATTGTAGTTTACTGTTTTCAGGGTGCATAAATAGCTGGGAATTAATCTGGTTTATTTGGTAGTGTTTTCTTTTAAGCTAGCTGTCTTGTTTTGTATTTGATTTGTCAGACTGTGACTTTGGTGACTGCATGGTACTGTATCTCAATTGCATGGATCGCTGCCCTGATGTCAGTCACTGGATTGCCTGGACCAGACTTGATTATAGGTAGCCATCATATAGCTGGAACATTGCTGAGTGGCGTTAAACAACATGTGTTAGGTGCATCTTATAAAGCAACAAGCTAAAATCATAGCTGTTCTTGTGCCAAGAACGTGTCATCTGCTACAGTAAAAAACAAGTTTAGGAGCTGAAATTGATATTGTGAAATTGCTTTGTTTGTTTGTTGTTTAAAGCTGCACTCAGCAATATTCCAGCTATATGACGATGGTCTGTAAATAATCGAGTCTGGACCAGACAATCCAGTGATTGATATTATGAGCATCGATCCACGCAATTTGGATCGATGACATGCATCAACCAAGTCAGCGAGCCTGACCACCGGATCCGTTAGTTGTCTCTTACGACAAGCATAGTCGCATTTTATGGCAAGCATAGTTGCTGAAGACCTATTCTACCCAGGATCTTCACGGGTCACAACAAGAAGTGCTGCTGATGTCAGATATATATTGTGTTTTATAGCAGAGACAAATCTTTCCTCAGGAATCAGGAAGTTTAACTGCAGCGCATGCCTGCTTTCCTGAGAGGGAAATGTTTAGATCACCCACCCTCTTCATAATTATTTACTTGCTGTGTTATCCCTAAAAGTGGCCAATGAAAATGTTACATCTTGTAACCATGGTGATATGACAGTGTGTATTTGATTTTGCCTTCAGGAACCGATATTGTTTGCTACATCTGTGATGGAGAACATCCGATATGGACGACCTGATGCAAGTGACCAAGAGGTATGCTGGTAGCCCACTTGTAGGAATTTGGCCTAGGTCTCTTGTACTTACAGTCTCTAGAACATAGGGCGTCAGTACATAGGTCTTCAGTACTTAGTTCTGTAGTACTAACAGTCTCTTGTGCTTCCAATCTCTAGTGATTGTGGTGTCTAGTACCTGTGGTTTTGTGTACATGGGTCTTTGGTACACAGAGGTGAGACTCTTCTGCGGATCTGCAAATTTTGGTGGCCACAAATTTGTTAAAATTTATCCCTGACCCCTCCATAACACCCACAGATTATGGAAGATGCTCCATTGAAAAGAAGTTTCAGTTGAAAAGGAAAATATCCATTCCCATCCCTGTGTAGAGAAGTTTAGTAACAGAGGTCAGTAACATTTCCTGTTTCTCGTACTGTGATCTCCAGTACTCTCTTGTACATCTGTCTCCAGTACTCTCTGGTACATAGGTCTCCAGTACATAGGTCTCCAGTACATAGGTCTCCAGTACATAGGTCTCCAGTACATAGGTCTGCAGTACTCTCTTGTACATAAGGTCTGCAGTGCATAGGTCTGCAGTACTCTCTTGTACAAAGGTCTCCAGTACATAAGTCTGCAGTACTCTCTGGTACATAGGTCTCCAGTACTCTCTGGTACATAGGTCTCCAGTACATAAGTCTGCAGTACTCTCTGGTACATAGGTCTCCAGTACTCTCTTGTACAAAGGTCTCCAGTACATAAGTCTGCAGTACTCTCTGGTACATAGGTCTCCAGTACTCTCTGGTACATAGGTCTCAAGTACACAGGTCTCCAGTACATAGGTCTCCAGTACATAGGTCGGCAGTACATAGGTCTGCAGTACTCTCTTGTACATAGGTCTCCAGTACATAGGTCTGCAGTACATAGGTCTCCAGTACTCTCTTGTACATAGGTCTCCAGTACATAGGTCTGCAGTACTCTCTTGTACATAGGTCTCCAGTTCATAGGTCTCCAGTACTCTCTTGTACATAGGTCTCCAGTACATAGGTCTGCAGTACTCTCTTGTACATAGGTCTCCAGTACTCTCTGGTACAAGGTCTCCAGTACATAGATTTCCAGTACGCTCCTGTACATAGGTCTCCAGTACATAGGTCTCCAGTACTCTCTGGTACATAAGGTCTACAGTACCCAGATCTCCAGTACTCTCTTGTACATAAGGTCTCCAGAACATAGGTCTCCAGTACTCTCTGGTGCACAGGTCTCCAGTACATAGGTCTCCAGTACTCTCTGGTACACAGGTCTCCAGTACATAGGTCTCCAGTACTCTCTGGTACATAAGGTCTACAGTACCCAGATCTCCAGTACTCTCTTGTACATAAGGTCTCCAGAACATAGGTCTCCAGTACTCTCTGGTGCACAGGTCTCCAGTACATAGGTCTCCAGTACTCTCTGGTACACAGGTCTCCAGTACATAGGTCTCCAGTACTCTCTGGTACATAAGGTCTCCAGTACCCAGGTCTCCAGTACTCTCTTGTACATAAGGTCTCCAGTACATAGGTCTCCAGTACTCTCTGGTACATAAGGTCTCTAGTACCCAGGTCTCCAGTACTCTCTTGTACATAAGGTCTCCAGTACAAAGGTCTCCAGTACATAGGTCTCCAGTACTCTCTTGTACATAGGTCTCCAGTACATAGGTCTCCACTAGTCTCTTGTACATAGGTCTCCACTACTCTCCAGTACATAGGTATCCAGTACTCTCTTGTACATAAGGTCTCCAGTACATAGGTCTCCAGTACTCTCTGGTACATAAGGTCTCCAGTACCCAGGTCTCCAGTACTCTCTTGTACATAAGGTCTCCAGTACAAAGGTCTCCAGTACATAGGTCTCCAGTACTCTCTTGTACATAGGTCTCCAGTACATAGGTCTCCACTAGTCTCTTGTACATAGGTCTCCACTACTCTCCAGTACATAGGTCTCCAGTACTCTCTTGTACATAGGTCTCCAGTACTCTCTTGTACATAGGTCTCCAATACATAGGTCTCCAGTACATAGGTCTCCAGTACATTGATCTCCAGTAGATAGTTTTGTCAGCACCATACCCGTACTCGTGGGTTTCACCAAAGTGGTAAACGTCTGAGACCTGCATCACTTTGGGCTTTCCTCCCGCATTAAGCTGACACGCCACGATATAACTGGAATACTGTTAAAAGCGTTGTCAAACCCAACTCACTCACTCACTCACTCACTCTCTTCTCATGTAATAGACCTGTATCATGTTGAAGACATTTATTTCTGTGATATGGCTGGATCTCTTATAAGATCTGGGTGTGATCCTGTGTATGTCATATATCTCCTTGCCTTCATGTTGCTATTTCAGGTGATAGAGGCTGCTAAGCAGGCTAACGCCCACAACTTTATCTCCAAGTTCCCTGAGGGCTACCGAACTGTACTGGGAGAGAGAGGCGTGACAGTGTCTGGGGGACAGAAACAGAGAATAGCTATAGCCCGAGCTCTCATCAAGAACCCCTCTGTGCTCATACTGGATGAGGCCACAAGGTACACACATCCTAGGTTACAAAGCCTCAGTTCCGAGGGTCCTAAGCCTGTGGGGTGATGGGGTAGCCTAGTGGTTATAGTATTCGGTTCTCAGGTCAAAGACCTGGGTTTGATTCCCAACATGGGGATCGTGGGTTAGTACTGTGCTGTGAATTACTCTTTGTTAGCTTAATCATTAACAGCATCCTCTGATGTGGCTGGAATATTGATGTCGCAGAGTTGAACAACATTCACTCACTCACCCAATCACTTACACATCCTTCTCCCATGTTAATGTGTTTGGTTTATAGAGGGAATCCTAAACAGGTCAGGTTTGTTAGCCTTTCCAATCAGTTTAGTAATAAGGTCATAAGATCAGATTTGGTTATAAATACGTTTACACACAATATCAATCTGTAACTTTGCCTAGGTCCATGAGGGTTATGCAAGCTCCTTCCCAGCGCGTGACACCTTCGTTACACTCTCGGTAACATCGCTGCCACCAGTGTGGGCGCGGCCATTACAAGAATCTTGAAATTTGCCCTCTAACCCCAAATGTAGTAACGTTTATACTTTTGTTTATGTCTTTGGGAATGCCATCATATTTCAATTTGAAAAGGTTTACGACTGACCATGTTTTCCAGATGAATTTACTTTGTTGTTTTGATAATCAGATTGGTTCGAGATTGCAGACTAACGGAAAACCAACCAACTTCTCCCTTACATTCTTACTATATCAATAACACGATAGTTTTAATGAAACAGAAATTCAAATTGACAAACGAAGAAAGTAATTTAGCAGCTATAAGTGTATTCGGCGTCACGACAGTCGTCACTTGTTTGTAAACAAAACGGTCATTCGGTTGCGAGTTCAACTCCAAGCATGGTTGTGGCCACCTATTCACAGTGGGGAGTTTTGACTGGTGGCAGCGATAGTATAGAGAGCTCCGGGAACGTACTATCGCTGTGAGGAGCTTGAGGGTTATGGTCAAAGGGGAGATAACTCTAGGTATTTCTTTATCTGACTTATCCGTCTGATAACAAGCTCAGCTAAGGCTTAAAAATATGATAGTCTTGGTTCTCAGGCACCACCCACATCATCATAAAGTCTGCCACACGTCTTGTTTTTATTTCCATTTTCAAAAAAATATAAAAATCCTATTAAACACAATGCACAAAATAAAAAGTGAAAAGGAACCAAAAACAAAACTTGCAATGAACTAAATGAGGATGTGGGCAGTGCCTGAGAACCAAGACTATTATTTTTTTTTCATTAGCTTAACAAACCATTTGTTAAACCAAACAGCTCATACCAATATCAGTACGTAACTTTGTCCATGAGGGTTGTGGTCAAAGGGGAGATAGGCCTGTGTAGACGCAACCCATACTTGCCGTAAAAGGTGACTATGCTTGTCGAGTTGTCGTAAAAGGTGACTTAACAGGATCGGGTGGTCAGGCTCGCTGACTTGGTTGATGCATGTCATCGATCCCAATTGCGTGGATAGATGCTCATGATATTAATCACTGGATTGTCAGGTCCAGACTCGATTATTTACAGACCGCCGTCATATAGCTGGAATATTGCTGAGTGTGGTGTTTAACAAAAAACCAACCAATCAGAGGGGAGATAACTCTGGGTATTTATTTATCTGTGTGATAATCAGCTCTGCTAATTGACCATTTGTTAAACCAACCGATGCAGGCCAATGTAAATCTGTAACTTTGCCCAGGTCCTTGAGGGTTATGGTCAAAGGGGAGATAACTCTGGGTATTTATTTATCTGACTTATCTGTATGATAATCAGCTCCGCCAACTGACCATTTGTTAAACCAACCGATGCAGGCCAATATCAATCTGTAACTCTGTCCATGAGGGTTATGCAAGCTCCTCACAGCCGTAGCCCGTTCGCAGAGCTCTCTGTACTATCGCTGCCACCAGTCAAAACTCCCCACTGTGATAGGTGACCCCAACCATGTTTGGAGTTGAACCCGCAACCGAAGGACCGTTATGTTTACAAACAAGTGACGACTGTCGTGACGCCGTATACACCTACCGCTGATAAATTACTTTCTTTGTTTGTCAATTTGAATTTCTATTTCATTAAAACTATCATCTTTAATTGATATAGTAAGAATGTAAGGGAGAAGTTGGTTGTTTTTCCGTTAGTCTGCAATCTCAAACCAATCTGATCATACAAACAACAAAGTAAATTCATCTGGAAAACATGGTCAGTCATAAACTTTTTTCAAAATGAAATATGATGGCATTTCCAAAGACATAAACAAAAGTATAAACGTTACTACATATGGGGTAAGAGGGCAATTTTCAAGATTTTTGTAATGGCCGCGCCAACACTGGTGGCAGCGATGTTACCGAGATTTAATGAGGGTGTCACGCGCTGGGAAGGAGCTTGGAGGGTTATGGTCAAAGGGGAGATACCTCTGGGGATTTATTTATCTGACCTATCTGTGTGATAATCAGCTCAGCTAATTGACCATTTGTTAAACCAACCGATGCAGGCCAATGTAAATCTGTAAGTTTGCCCAGGTCCATGAGCTTTATGGTCAAAGGGGAGATAACCCTGGGTATTTATTCATCTGACTTATCTGTATGATAATCAGCTCTGCTAACTGACCATTTGTTAAACCAAACAGCGCATGCCAATATCAATCTGTAACTTTGCCCAGGTCCTTGAGGGTTATGGTCAAAGGGGAGATAACTCTGGGTATTTATTCATCTGACTTATCTGTATGATAATCAGCTCTGCTAACTGACCATTTGTTAAACCAAACAGTGCAAGCCAATTTCAATCTGTAACTTGGCCCAGGTCCTTGAGGGTTATGGTCAAAGGGGAGATAACTCTGGGTATTTATTTATCTGACCTATCTGTGTGATTATCAGCTCCGCTAATTGACCATTTGTTAAACCAACCGATGCAGGCCAATGTAAATCTGTAACTTTGCCCAGGTCCATGAGGGTTATGGTCAAAGGGGAGATAACTCTGGGTATTTATTTATCTGATTTACCTGTATGATAATCAGCTCCGCTAATTGACCAGTTGTTAAACCAACCGATGCAGGCCAATGTAAATCTGTGACTTTGTGCATGAGTGTTGTGGTTAAAGGGGAGATAACTCTTGGTATTTCTTTTTATCTGTATGAAAGCCAGCTCCTCTAACTGACCATTTCTTCAACCAAACAGTGCAAGCCAATATCAATCTGTAAGTTTGCCAAGGTCCATGAGGGTTATGGTCGAAGAATTGATAACCCTGGGTATTTCTTTATCATTTGTGACTAACTTGTGTCATTCTGGGACAAGCTGAATCGCGATGTGTGCCCCTCTAGAAGGATTTCATATTGGCGTATGAACATAAGAACTATTTCAATCAAGAACAATAACTCAAATTCTCTTTGAGTCCACTAGTAATAATGAAAATAATTTTTTTATTAATTGATGACATAATGGCATAACTGCTTTAAGTACTCGAGATTATTGTTATCAAAGTAACTTAAAACGTACACTGTCACTCATTCTGATTAGTTTGTCATATTTTCACTCATAACATTCATCGAGTTGGTTACGGAAAGAGCGAGTGGTGACGAATGATTTCTTTATCTGATTCATCGGACTGCTAACCAGCTCATTGCTAACTGACCATTTGTTAAATGAGACAATGCAGGCAGGACACATTGACAGATCAAATTGATAGATTCAGCTGATTCAAATGCAAAAAGATTTACTCACAGTGCCACTTGGGGGCAGGGTGGCCTAGTCGTCTAAGGTGCAGCAATTCGCTGTGCAGAGTTGCGTCCCTTGGGCATGCCAGAAACCTATGATTGTGGGTTCGAATCCTACTTCGCCTCGATTATGTTTCTAGGTTTGTCAGTGGCAAACCCGTGCTCGTGGGTTTCATCGAAGTCGTCAACGTCTGATACCTGCATCACTTTGGGATTTCCTCTCACATTAAGCTGACATGCTGTGATATAACTGGAATACTGTTAAAAGCTGTGTTAAACCCAACTCACTCACTCACTCACACACTCACTCCAGAATTCATGAAGTCAGAGCAGCTTGTAGTGCAATTTGAGAAAACTGAAACAGGAGATGTGAAAGGAAATATTTTAATGAACTCCAAGGAGACCAATTCAATAAGTGGTTTCACCTCCCAAACTTGCACAAGTAAAAAAACAATTTGTTTTGTAGTTGAATGTATTATGAAACATTAGTGCAGTTGTTTAATGTATTATAAAAGTATGTGATGAAGATGGGGACATTTTACTCCTACTTTGCATCATTTACAATGGTTTTCACCCAATATCAACCTGTAATGTTGCCAGAGTCCTTTTAGGGTTGTGGTCAAAGGGGAGATAACTCCTGGTATACAGTCAGCACTAAGTTCATCAACACTTTCTGTAAATCTTTCTCTCGCTTTGTTTTCAGTGCTCTTGATGCTGAATCTGAGAGAATTGTTCAGGAAGCTTTGGATAAAGTCATTAAAGGTACGTCACCATATATGTTATGGATATGACAAAACCGGTTGGAGAAAAATGAATTATGTTGATGTGACTTTGTTGATTGTGTGTCATCATACCATGCTGGTCCGGATTGGTACTCAAAGTATCAGTCACTGGATTGTCTGGTCCTGACTAAATTATTACCAGGCTGGATTCATATACCTGGAATATTGCTGAGTTAAACAACAAGCAAACAATTGTCCCTTTCACACAGACAGACAGACAGACTGACTAACAGACAGACACAGAGACAGACAGACAGACATAAATTGAGATTCATATGTTTTGGCCATGAGGCCAATAGTACAGTGACAGTTTACAAAAAGTATGTCCCTTTCCATTAATTACGATATACGACGTAATAAGCATCCAGGGCGCTCTCAAAATAAGAAATAGGGGGCTCTTATTAGAATACAATTTTGGTGAGAAATAAAACAGAGTTGAAAGATTGTGAATTTCGTAGTTTATGCTTACAGCTTGAAATGATACAAAAGAAAATTATGTGCGTATTATACACGACAGATATATTTTCCAGAATTTAATTGCCCATAATTAAGGGTGCATATAACGCATGAGTGCGTATTATACGCAAATAATAAGTCTTGTGTACATTGATCAATCGGAAGGTGTGCTAATTGGGATTGTTCACAAGCCAATATATCAGCAAATATCGCCATGTGCGTTTATTAGAGCGGGGTGCTTATTACGTCGAATATGTTATGTATTCTTGATTTCTGAAGCATTTGTCTTTCAGGTACCTGGATAACATTTTTATTGGTTTTTTTTATTTCACCTGGTGGGCAATTATTGTTTGAGATCATTTGTTGAAAAAATACATGTTTTTAGAAATAGGTGTCAGCCACCTATCTTATGGTTTTTGAAAAACATGTCAGTAAAGTGATGGAAACAGAGGTTTAACATTTCTTCATCCCACTGATTTCCTTCATTATTTGTTAGAACATGGTTGAACATGAAGCCAGAAAATACTTCCTGTTTCAGGGCGAACAGTGTTGGTGATCGCTCATAGGCTCAGCACGATACGAGATGCAGATGTCATAGCAGTTGTTTCTCATGGAAAGATAGTTGAGGTGGGTTCTCAAATAAGTTGAGATTTTCAGCACATAGAAACAAAAATCAAAGTGAGCTTTTGTTGTGACGCACTGTCTGTCGTCCGTTGTCCATCTTCAAAACAACAGATTAGGGTCGTCAGACTAGCTTTTCTCATTTTTACGACAGACTGGTGCTAGGGAGAGCGAAGACACCTGGCATCTGCCCTTAGTAGAGTCGCTTTGACACCTGACCATTAGAATCCCCAGAGGATATGTGATGGGGATTGTTGAGAGTAAGTGTTCTGTCCCATGGCTAGAATTCTATTTGGGCAGTTTGTAGATGGAGAGGAACATGGCTGCTGTCAGGTGGTGACTTACAAAGTTGAAAGAGTGTTGTGGCTCGTTTCTCTGATGGATTGTTAATCTAAACTTTTTGACCAGTGTTTCCACCTCCCTCTTATAAGTTGAGATAACTCAGTGGTATTACGGAAGCATGTAAAAAAGGGAATTACCATAAAATATCTCATTTAGATAGATTTCCTGAATTTACAACATCCCTTCTGAAACTTCTGGTCTGTGAAGTTGAAATTTTGTGTAGTCCCAGCGATGGTGTCTCTGAAAATTTCTAAGAGAATTACGATCTGATTTCAAACAAAGTCAGCCTTCATTTTTGCTCATCACTGAACCACTGAAAAATTTAGTTACTTGCTTTTGTGTCTGTTGTTTACCTCTTCGTTATGATAGTTTTTATCTACATGTATTTTTCAAAATACAATGTATTCCAATAAACTTAAGATGAGGTACGAAGTCTTGCACTTGGCTCTATTTATTTTTTCTTTGTTGTAGGATTTAATGCTGTACAGTGCGAGATGTTGTAAATTAATGACTAGTGTGCAATTGAACATTGTCTTTGCGATCAGGGTTATATATTTTACTGAATAGATACAGGACACATAAAATGGAATAAGCAAAACAGGAAAGTGTTGTTTGATTGACCTGAACCATCTTGCTAGCACTGCTAATTGAGTCTAACCTCACTTAAACAGAACTACAAATAAGCAGCGTAAAATACCCCCCAAAATATTCAAAACCCAATTACTTTCAAGTAACTTGCGTACAGAAACGCATGCATTAAATGAAAAACTCAAAAAGCATGTGTAAATACCCAATGAAGCTTTTTCAGCATGTGTACAAAGGACCTAATTTCCGAGACATAATTACGAGCTAATTTACTTCACAAGTCAAGCCTATATGTTTAGAACAGTTATATACATCTTAAACATTATTTCATTTTTTTTAAATCTTAAAATGTTTACTAATTTTGGGAAAAAAACAATAGAGTGATAAATAGATGAGTGAAAAAAATGTTGGTTACCCAATGAAAAATGTAATAACCAATTTGAATCGAAACCCTAGCGTAAAAACTCATTTGCTCAAAAAGTTATCTGGAGCTCTGCTTAAATGCCCTGCTGATGTTGTTTCTGAGTTTGTCAGCTTCATACCTGTGCTCATGGGTTTCACCAAAGTAGACTAAGATCTGCATCACTTCAGGCTTTCCTCCCATGTTAAGCTGACACGCCGTGATATAACTGCAATACTGATCAAAGCGGGGATAAAACCAACTCACTCATTGGGCTAGACACTTTTAGCATCATGGGAATGAAACTATTTTTTGTCGGTCAGTCAATCACAATGGTTGTAGGGCTAAAATTGTCAGTCAGTCAATCACAATGGTTGTAGGGCTAAAATTGTCAGTCAGTCAATCACAATGGTTGTAGGGCTAAAATTGTCATTCAGTCAATCACAATGGTTGTAGGGCTAAAATTGTCAGTCAGTCAATCACAATGGTTGTAGGGCTAAAACTGTCAGTCAGTCAATCACAATGGTTGTAGGGCTAAAACTGTCAGTCAGTCAATCACAATGGTTGTAGGGCTAAAATTGTCAGTCAGTCAATCACAATGGTTGTAGGGCTAAAACTGTCAGTCAGTCAATCACAATGGTTGTAGGGCTAAAATTGTCAGTCAGTCAATCACAATGGTTGTAGGGCTAAAATTGTCAGTCAGTCAATCACAATGGTTGTAGGGCTAAAATTGTCAGTCAGTCAATCACAATGGTTGTAGGGCTAAAACTGTCAGTCAGTCAATCACAATGGTTGTAGGGCTAAAATTGTCAGTCAGTCAATCACAATGGTTGTAGGGCTAAAATTGTCAGTCAGTCAATCACAATGGTTGTAGGGCTAAAACTGTCAGTCAGTCAATCACAATGGTTGTAGGGCTAAAATTGTCAGTCAGTCAATCACAATGGTTGTAGGGCTAAAATTGTCAGTCAGTCAATCACAATGGTTGTAGGGCTAAAATTGTCATTCAGTCAATCACAATGGTTGTAGGGCTAAAATTGTCAGTCAGTCAATCACAATGGTTGTAGGGCTAAAATTGCAAGGACTCACATGGGGTAGTCTGGGAAAGAAATATTTTTTGTTTCAATGAAGGTGTTTACATGTGCCCATGTTCAGGCTAGCTGATCTGGTTGATGGCATCGGTCGTTGACCAAAATATCCATTGCTGGATTGTCTTTGATATATTGCTTGGTGTTCAACAAACAAGGAAATCATATTGCAACATGGATGTGACAGTGTATTGTTACACTCTATCAAGCTGGGCCCAATACACAATCATTTTCCTTGTTAGATAAAATGAGTGGTGATTAAACCGATAGAAAACTGGGATAGTTTTTCTAATGCTCTGGAATATAGCTAGCTGGATTTACCTATTTTGTCCTCTACACTGGTATTAATTCAGTTTATTGCGTCAGTCATCGCGAGGGACTAGATTAAAGGGAGACTACTCCAGGGTCTGGTGCCCATTTCCTTTCTCATTCTGGATGTAATTTGTGTCCTGTGTGGAACTTGACTTGTGTCGGTACAATTAGGACTATCATTAACTGTTAAACATACAATTTAATTTTTCCAACACAAAGAACAGACTTTGAATAGCATTTAGAAGTGAAACACAAGGAAGAGAATTTTAATAGATGTCAACTTCTTTATTATGAAGAGGGCGGTGGGGTAGCCTAGAGGTGAAAGTTTTCACTCATCACGCCGAGCCTGGGTTCGATTCCCCACATGGGTTCTATGTGTGAAGCCCATTTCTTTCACCTGAAATACTCCCAAATTTTGTGTTCCTCATAAAAAAAATTGACATCCAAAAATTCTCTTCCTTGCAAATCAAACAGTGTTAGAGAGACTTGAATCTGCCTTCCAAGGACTAGAATTTGACCCATCCTAGTTCCCCAGTATCTTTCCTTGTCCCGGGGCGGTCGGGTAGCCCAGTGGTTAAAGGGTTCGCTCGGCACACCGAAGACCTGGGTTCGATTCCCGACATGGGTACAATGTGTGAAGCCCATTTCTGGTGTCCCCTGCCGTGATATTGCTGGAATATTGCTCAAAGCGGCGTAAAACCATACTCACTCACTCACTTTCCTTGTCCCCAGATGGGCTCCCACAGCAAGCTGAAGGAAAAGAGGGGCCTGTACTGGGAGCTGATCAGACAGCAGGAGATCGAGGAGGAGCTGGAACATCGACAACAGACCGGATAATCACACAACAACTTAGCTTTTCATGTATTTATTGTATTGTACAAGGCTGGTTACTTGTAGACGGAGAGTCACTGGTCCTTCAGTGACTTGACAACATGTACAAGACAGGCAGCCCAAGATTGTTCTGTATCTATCCATGTATTTAGAGCATGAGGTATGAGGCACCATGGAATATCTTTCCAGTGTCGATAAACTAAGACCTGAGCTTTGGCGTGAAACATTAACGACTTGGAATAGTTAGTATGTAATTCTGAGTTGACAGTTGGTTATTCTATGTATTACCTATAATCAGGAATATTAGAAAATATGAGTTTCCCGAACACAAAAGAGGTATAACCTAGGTCAGTGTACTGACAGAGTGGATGAGTGGATAATGGATAAAGTCCTCCTCAATTACTTGTGACAATACACTGACAAGTCACCATGTTGATGAGGGTCATATCTCAGACATTCTATATAAATGAACAGTGGTCTTGCACAAGCCAATCAGTGAGACTTACAGGTGTCCCCTCTGGGAAAGAAATGTTTGATTCTCCAAGAGAGTGACTTTTTAGTGAAAAATGAAAGATGTTCTTCTGGTTAATTTCTTTTATTGAACTCGAACAATAACTTTATGGTAAACCCATTGTGATAGTTTAGTTGTACTGGGGGTGATTTGGGGGATCTCAATTTGCTCTGTAGGGTTGCTTCCCTTTAGGTTGACAGGATCTGATGAGAGTGGGCTTGAATACCAGTTTTGCCCGTATGATGATTCTTGGTTTGTAATCACCATACCTGTGATGATAGGCATCTAAGACCTGCTTCATTGAAGCTAAAATGCCATGATATAACTGGAATATTGTTCAATCAGGTGGTTAACCCAGCAGACTCGCCTACACAAGTTAAGCTAGCCCACAGTTACACAAGCCTGGAGCTGGATGTGTGAGTGCCACATTGCACAGAATCAGGTTTCAAATTGAACTAATCCTTGTATGCCTTTGAGTGGTATTTTGTTCTGATGCTTGAGAGTTGCATCCCTTAGCCACGGCAGGATCTACTAGTCATTGGTTCATATTCCATTTGACTTAATTATGATCCATAGTCTGTCAGTACCATGATCATGGATTTCACCACAGTAGCGAGTATCTATGACCTGGGACATTTTTGGCTACCCTAGGGCACGCCAGAAACCTGTGATTCTGGCATTGCACTATCCTGACAGCCAAAGCCATTTTCACTAATGGTAAAATGTTTTTATATGTTATCACTTTGCAGGCTAGTAGACATTAGTTAATTTCTATACATGGTTGGAATCCTGGTTCGCCCCGATTGCTTCTAGGCTGTCAGCACCATATGTCACATGGTCGTGGGTTTCACCTAAGCTTCTGAGACCTGTATCACTTCAGGCGTTCCTCCCATATTAAGCTGACATGTCATGATAACTGGAATACTTTTCAAAGAGGTGGTGAACCAAACTCACTTACTCTAACATTAAGCTGACATGTTGTTATATGACAGACATGTTGTTCAAGGCAGTGAGAGTTCCAACTTAATCCCTTGTTAAGATGAAATACACTGCATAAGTGAGGGTAAGCACAAGATCCTGGTGTCACCGATGACTTGTGACAGTCTGAGGAAGAAGCATACACTTCGTGCAGTGTTAGAGATAGATGATTGTAAAATAGGATTCTTGACATAATCTTACAGTCAAACACCTTTGTGTGGAGGTTGAAGGGACCTGCATTAATACATTGAAGTTTCTGAGGTTCGACACAAGCGAAAATTATGAATAAAAAAGGAATACACAGGGACCAAGCTTTTACTTTGAGAATGTTTGACACATCAAAGTTTGACACAACAGGGTTACTAATGTTAAAAGTGTATGAGGGGTGGTGGGGTGGCCCGGTGGTCAAAGTGTTCAATAAAGGTTTAAGATTTTAGGATCTTGAGATCAAAATACAGCACCCTAAATCAGGCCCCTTCTATTTGCTAACACAAATTATGCCATCACAAATTAATAATAATGCTTTCATCCAATTTTTTATACAATGTTAGTAGAGGGGGAGTTCATTTGTTGTTTTTACGAACAAAATATTCAAGGCATCTCAATCGATGTGATTCACACAAAGCAGGAACTTTTTGGTAGGATTATATATGTTTAGTGTATTTCATCAAGTAGAGAAAGAAGGGAACGTGTGGTGACTTCTTCCTCTGGATACATAGTGTTAAGACATTGATGTGGCATTGTGTTTGTTAGTGAGGCTAGTGGGCATGAGTATCTAATACGCTAATAATAGTTTGGCTTTTTGTGATATGCAGGGAGCCATCTTCATTGCAGGGGGCACAGGTGGCCCAGCCATCTAAGGCGCCGCGATTCGCTGTGCAAAGTTGGGGCCATTGGACATGCCAGAAACCTATGATTGTGGGTTCGAATCCCGGGTTCGCCCCGATTATGTTTGTAGGTTTGTCAGCACCATAACCGTGCTCGTGGGTTTCACTGAAGTGGTAAACGTCTTAGACCTGCATCACTTCGGGCTCTCCTCCCACAATAAGCTGACACCCCGTGATATAATTGGAATACTGTTAAAAGTGGCGTAAAACCCAACTCACTCACTCACTCTTCATTGCAAGTCTAGGTGGATGGACTTTATTGTGATACTGACCTATACCCAACAAAATCAAGACATGTTTTTGAAATGTGTAAATATTTGTACAACTTAGTGTGATGTGATATTGTGAAAAGCATCTCATGACGTTTGATGTGAATGGCTGTTTAGGCAGGTTTTTGTTATTGATTGGTTTATGGATCTGCCGAATGTAATAATCAGGAAAGTAGAAAAAAATGTTTTTATTTAGTTTTTAACATTACTGCCAAGTATGAAAAGCCCATTTAGCAATAAAAAACATTACAAATTGTTTTCATGCATGTCCAAGATTAATGTTTAATTAATTTATCAGGATCTTGGTTATCATGACATATATATACATTTTTTTTTTAAATCCTACCGACCATATGTTTACACAAAAGACAATAAAATATTTGAAAGTGATGTTTTTTCTTGTCTTATTTTTGACCACTGACTGAAGTTTTGAGAGAAGAAATCTATAAACCAACTTGTGAAAAGAAAAGGCCTTTGTTGCATTATGTGAGCTATGTTCTGTACATATGATTATGAAGACTTTTGAATTTCAAAGCATTCTATTATATATCCCAATAAAAGAACCTTTACTAAGGCAGATATGTTCTGATATTAATATTCAATGTTTTAGCATTTTTAAAGAAAGAAAGACCAAGTAACCATGCTTATGATACATTTTGCAGTTCAAACACTGCTGTTCACAGCAGCATTAAACCTAACTCACTTTCTCTAAAGGGGCGATGGGGTAGCCTCATTGTTAAGGTGTTCACTTGTCGTGCCAAAGACCTGGGTTCGATTCCCCACATGGATACAAGGTGTATTTTCTGGTGTCCCTGCTGTGATATTGCTGGAAGGTTGCTAAAACTCACTCCTCTCGGCGTCCATTCTGTTGAAAAAGGGGTAAATATTTCAGTTGTACAGTTGGCACACCCTCATAAATCTTTTTACATCAAGCTAGTTTTCATAGTTATTGAGCCAGTAAAGGTTCATCTTCCATCAACATCTTTATATGAACCAAGAACTGTTTTTGAAAGGAGTGTCACAATATCTAGTGCGTGGTAATGATCTTATGTCAATTGTATTTATTTAGGCATTTAACAGGAACTCCCTGACAATATATCATAGATATCAACTTGTGCTTTACTCCACAATTTATGGGGGCACGGGTGGCCCACTCATCTAAGGAGACGCGATTCGCTGTGCAGAGTTGCGTCCCTTGGGCACACCAGAAACCTATGATTGTGGGTTTGAATCCCGGTTTGCCCCAAATATGTTTGTAGGTTTGTCAGCACCATACCCGTGCTCGTGGGTTTCACCAAAGTGGTAAACGTCTGAGACCTGCATCACTTTGGGCTTTCCTCCCACATTAAGCTGACATGTCGTGATATAACTGGAATACTGTTACAACGGCATTGAACCCAACTCAATTACTCACTCACACCAGAATTTAAAGTTTGCAAATGAACTTTTGAGGCAGTATTAGTTCCATGTTGATTTAGTTGCTTGTAAAAGTTTTTTGACCGATGAAACTGGTAAATAAGTCATATCCAGTCATCTTTCAATTGTTCTTCGATCGCCTCTGGTCCAGTGGTAAAGCGTCCGCCCGAAGAGAGGAAGGTCCAGGGTTCGATCCCAGGAAGGTCATACAAAAGGACGTTGAAAGTTGGTACTTGTTGTTACCCTGTCTGGCGCTCGGCATTAAGGGGCTAAAACAAGGATTGGTCGGCACAGAGTCAGTATACTCTGTCTGAGTGGGGTATTTATGTTAAACTGCAGCATGGTATCTCAGTGGGCTAGCACTATAAAATCGGTATTTGTCCTGACGAGAACAAGCAGCCACACACATACATGTGCATGCGCGTCACTATAGAAGTGCAATAGTCTTAGAATGACATTAAACCCCATTTCACCTCACCTCAATTGTTCTTCCATTTTTCGTGTTTGGCAGAATTCACGCAACACAATCAGTGAACAACACTTATGTCACAAGTCTAAAGCCTGAATCTCGCTTTTATTCTGGTAAACTCACTGATAATAATAATCTTTATATGAACACAACAATCAACCAAAATATTGCCAAAACAACTGAAATGAAAACATACATTTTCTCTTTGATCCTCCAAGTAGAGTAGTGAGGCTTGAAGTTCCTGTTATTGTCAAACAATGCTGTAGATGTTGTGATAGGGGGACTATTGCTGATTGAGGGTAAAACATACAATTACATTCACACAAATTTTGACAAGATCATGAAATTAAAGCAAAATCAAATTAAAGATGGTATCAATCTATAGATGAAAATGTATGTTGATATTAATGGCAACAGGTCTAATATTTAACTTGGGTACTCAGAGTGGATACCGAGTAGGACCCAGGTACCCACAGGACTACCCGGACCTATGGTTAGTCATGTGATATATTGTTTAACGACAAAAATTATCTGAACTCTATGGTTACACTATAAGTGACTATTGTTCGCATTTCTTTCTGACTATACACCCATTCCTTCTGATATTTATGTGTTTGAATAAATATTTAACCTCAGTAAACTTCAGTGTATGCATGACCAGATTGTTTAACACGTGTATCTAAATACTTTTTACCAGGGCTACAGTCAAGATATTCCCAATCGGACATTTTGTACCTATTTCTTGAGACCAACAGCGGGTACCTGTGTAGTAAGTCCTGACTTGTCCAAGCCCGACATTGCATCCAGTTCTTGTATGTGCAGTTAACCTGGTGTGTCAACAACCTAGTAGAGATACAAGTGTGTCACAATATTAATGCGAGCACTCCACAATCAGTTTTTCATCATTAACATGTTTACAATATTTGATCTAAATGTACCAATAAAGAGTTATTTGTAGATCAGGTTGACTCCCTTTAGTCTTTAGTAGGATTTTTATGTCCAAATTGATTTACAGGAAAACGAATGGAAATGGTCTCAAAAGTTGAATTGAGAAAATGTGCGGCATATTCCTGAATATCAGTGTGTATGTGTGGTATGCAAAGTGACGACTATTCTTGTTAAGTTTGCCTGTATATTGTAATGATGAGCACTGATAAGTGTTTACTATTTATTTGATCACTGTATATAATCCCAAGTATTTATGACATATTTCATGTGAGGATATTATGTTATACATGTGTATGTGTAACTGAGATGTACATTTATAAATCAGTGAGGGGGCACGGGTGACCAAGTCGTCTAAGGCGCCGCAATTCGCTGTGCAGAGCTGCGTCCTTTGGGCACGCCAGAAACCTATGATTGTGGGTTCGAATCCCTGTTCACCCCGATTATGTTTCTAGGTTTGTCAGCACCATACCCGTGCTCGTGGGTTTCTCCGAGGTGGTAAACGTCTGAGACCTGCATCACTTCGGGCTTTCCTCCCACATAAAGCTGACACGCTGTGATATAACTGGAATACTGTTAAAAGCGGCGTTAAGCCAACTCACTCACCTATAAATCAGTGCACATTTAACCAGGAAAAGTTGAAAATATGTTTCTTGTCATCATACAGAACATTAAAAACAGTGTGCATGATAATTGTTTAACTTTGTCTGGTATTTTGTTTTTTTTCTATTGTCTGTTTTTTTTACTAGTAAAATTGTCCTTATCGTGTATAGTATAGAATGAAATAAGCTGTGCCACCATGGTTGCGAACAAGTTTGTTTGAATAACTGCTTTTGAGCTTATAATGAGAAACATTTGTATTATTTTTCATGGCCTTCATTCTAGAATACCCCTGTGCAAGAATGATAATAGATATGTAGAATAAAGTGGATTTTATCTCACCAGATATGAATGTTGTGTTGTCAAAAGGTTTTTTTGTATTTGTTTGGTGTATAACACCGCACACAGCAATATTCGAGCTATATGACGGCAGTCTTTAAATAATCGAATCTGGACCAGACAATCCAGTGATTGTCATCATGAGCATTGATCCACACAATTTGGATACGATGACATGCATCAACCAAGTCAGCAAGCCTGATCACCCGATCCCGTTAATCGCTTCTTACGACAAGCATAGTCGTCTTTTACAGCAAGCATGGGTTGCTGAAGACCTATTCTACCCCGGATCTTCACGACAGTGTGTCAGGACAAACATGATGTATGATGTGTAGAGCTCAACTACTTACGGACCAGTTTAACAGCATTATTTATCTGCTGTACTCAAAGAAGGAATTCAGGGGCAAAATAGATCCTCAATACTCCATGGTTGTCATAACAGCGGACTCACTGAACAACGTATGGTTGCCAAACCTGTGTAATTGAATGGCTGGAAGGCACAGGAACTTGTTATTGGTCAGTAGGGGGTATATATTTTTATTTACTGAACAAATTTCTGTGCTGGAAGGATCGTGTGCCATTCAAAACAACTTGCCCCTTTGCGTAACTGAACTCGACTTGCCTTAATGACATGAGTTGTTATGAATAGGTCGTGTGCGTGCATCTTTCCGAGGCAAGCGAGTTAACCAACCCTCCTATTGACCAATCAGATTCCACCTCCCATATCACTTGCATTTGTTTCAAATAAAAGTGGTTATTACGAGTTATGTCCCTTCTATGTCCCTCCTATTGACCAATAGGTACCCACACAACTACCCGGACCCTTGGTTTGTCACGTGATATACTGTTAAATGACATCAACAATAAAAGTCTTTCTTACTAGGGCTGGGACGAGTCCATATTTACTACCCGGGTACCCACCCACCTATTACCCGACCCTACCCGGGTACCCCTTGTAGGTCACAGGAGATGTCTCAAAATATCCGATTGGGAACATTTGTAGAATAGCCCTGGCAAAATATATTCAGATACATGTGTTAAACAATCTATTTTATTCAACCATAAGAAAAAATCAGAAGGAATGGGTGCCTAGTCAGAAAGAAATGCGAACATTAGTGACTTGTAGTGTAACCATAGAGTTCTAGATAATATTTGTCATTAAACAATATATCACGTGACTAACCACGGCTCCGGGTAGTCCTGTGGGTACCCGGGTCCTACTCAGTACCCACCAGACCCGAGTACCCGAGTTAACCGTCCCAGCCCTAATGGTTACACAACAAGTATAGCTCACGTTCACATTTCTTTCTGACAACGCAAACATTCGTTCTGTCTTCAATATGTTCGAGTAAGGATAAAGCGTCTATCAACTTCAGTGTATGCAAGATCAGATCGTTTTGTACGTGTATCTAAATAGTTTTTGCCAGGGCTGCGGTAAAACAAATTCCATTCAGACATTTTGTACCCAACTCTTGAGACCTATAGCGGGTATCCGGATAGGGTCGGGTAATTGTGGACTCGTCCCAGCCCTAAACCCTATATTCGTTTTCGAAACATAAAAACTCTGGACCGAACCTCCATGTTGGATAGCGTTGCAAAATCACGGTTCTTTTCACATGTATTTCACACTCAGCTACGATACATACATCCCTGAATTAATCATACCATTAACAATCAAGTCTAGGTCACAAACGGTCCAAATGAAATCAACCGAAATATTTGAGTGTGAAACCAAACCCTGTGCTCTGAAACCTACCAGTGGGCCTTCTGATTTGAAAATGTAGACAAAGCAAACTTCGAGTTTTCTACTGTTCCGTCGTCAATTTGTTGCATACATTAGATTAATCGAATATGCATGGGTCGATAATCGTTGCAAGAATTGGGGAATTAATAATTAGAGTCTTAGTCTAGATACTTATTTGGAAAAGTCAACAGAAATCGTTCCACGTGACGCCATGATTGACGCAAAAACACGCACACTGACATCTTTCCGAGGCAAGAGAGTTAACTCACTATAAAAGTCCAGTTTCCACCCTTGCCGAACTAGGCTGGAATTACTGGTCTCGATCGTAGCGCCACCAGTGGCTATTA